CTTGTTTGAAAATATATCAATATATCTTAAAAACTCGATATATTTCCCAGCCCTGTATAAGTGTATAAAAAAAGTCTGTTCTTCAGCATGCTGTGAGTCTCTGTTAACAGATTCTATATAAAAATGTAGAATCTATACACAGGCGTCTGGATTTCCAGCTTATGAAGTGCTCTGGTTTCTGTTGGAGTACATTTGTAATCAGAGCTGTATTGACCATTTACACGTATCAGCAGGCTTTTGGTGTTTGCAGAAAAAAAAGCCGAAACCTCTGTCCTCACTTTAACATACCTGCTTCCAATGCCAGCATTCTAACAATGATTTATTTGTCTCCGTGAACAGATATCTGGACAAAAGTGAAGCTAACAATATAATAAATACCAAACCTTTTCAACTCGAGCCACAAACCTGCTGGACACTGTGCTGCGATAACCAATCAGCGATTCGTTTCCCTGACTACCTGAAATGCATCACGAATGACCGACGTCCATTCATCAATCATTCAAAAATATATTTTCTTCTCCTCCTGAGGACCGAACTGACAACGCTTCACTTTTGATTTTTTTTCCCACAGCTGCATGATGATGCTGTTGTTATTCCTGCAAACAACATATTTGGTTTGGTGCACTTTTGGGCGCTCACTGACAATCTCTGCGTGCAACTGCGCTGTCGTTTAAGACACGGTGCGGTTCTGCCCTCTGCGGCAATGTGCATATAATGTTCACAAGCTAATGGTGCAGAGCCGTCAAAAAACTGCTGCGAGAAGCTAAACAACCCTGTCAACCGTGCCATGACAAGATAAAGCAATATTACTGGACTTTGTGCAAATATGACTCTGCAAGCATCTTCAGCCCCACTGTTTGAAAACTGTCAACATGTGCAGTATGTTGATGTGTATTCATGACATCCATGGACTGTGTGACCAAATGGCTACATGTGAGAGAGGGTCGTTTACACTCTGCTTCTTGCTTGATCACTCTCTCTTTTTCTCTTAGCCTCACCCATTCTATGTATAACTGAAGGCCTGTGTGTGAACTAGAGCGCACTTCTCACACATCCAAATAATGTTACTTTTACTGTGTCTTAATGTGCTTTTGTCGTATCTGTAAAGACAAATCTGTGTATGCAGTGAAAGCCAGACATTATTTGTGGATAGTCTAGTGTTTGCAGGATTCAGTACTTGGCAGGTTTTCCCATTTCATGCTCTTAGGTGGATGATGGTGTGGCAATGCTCATGCTGCATGTCCTCTCCTCCCCTCCTATTACTGTGGGCCCCTGCTCGGAGTCTAGCCTTGTGAGAAAGTTGTACTTTTCCTGGAAGGCACGGCTGTGTGCAGATCTTAGGGAGCGATGGAACCTGAGTGGGCAGTCATCAGCACAATAACATGCGCGCACGTCACAGGGCTGGCTCGAGGGCCCTGCGGAGTAAACCACAGAAGGCCGGGAATTATCGCTGCCTTTCCTTTTCAATTACAGAAAGCTTAAACACCTCCGGAGGGACCGCCAAACCTTCCCATGCAGCGCTGCAATTAGGAGCAAACGCTCGCTTTCGAACAATCTAGAGCTCGGCTAAACTTCCCTCCCGTCCAAAGCCACCTGAAATAACTTTGGCTCTGATCCGGGGCAGCTGCAGAGTGACAGTGAGAGGAGGCTACGGCTGCATGCACAGAGTGTGTTCTCTGCGACTGCTTCTTCTTCTTCTTCTTCTTCGTCTTCTGCTAAGAGGAGTGTTTGTGTATACTCATCCCGTTGTGTTTGCAGACATACAGTTTAGATGTTTGGCGTCTGACGTGGGAGTGAAGCCTCCTTTTTCCTCGTTTAATGGTTTTGGTGACCTCTTACATAACAAGAGGCTCTAGTGAAGCTGCAGATGTCCCTCCATACAGCCTGTTATTCTAGAGAGGTCATTACTCAAACTGATTAATGACTGAGCAAATATGTCAGCACATTTCATAAAAGAGGGGCATGTCAATCAAACCCAAGTTTCCAACTGTCACCGAATGATGTGCAGTACGTGTATGGAAAAAAAAAATGATGTTTCACGGATAAAAGCTTAAAATCTAAATAATCCATTAAATAAGGCTGTTTCAGGATACAGGGGATAAAAAGGATATATCAGCTAGAGGGCGGGAAGGAAAACTATAAACACATTATTCTTTTAAAACAGAAAATAAGTTAATTTAGGAGCGTTCAAAGTGTTGCTGTCAAGAAGACACATTTGTGGCGTTCTTTAATTTAAATTATTTTCTCAATATACAAGTAAGTTTTAAAGGCACGGTTGGTCATTTTCTCCAGATCCACTTTTAAAGATTTTGATCTCAGTTCTGTTTAGGTCCTGACAGAAATCAATAATTCATTTTCTCTAAAAAAAAAAAAGGAACCAAGATGATCCGTCATCTGTAGCAGTTTGTAAGCGTGTAAAAACTTTGACCAATCATCTGCCACGAGGTACCAATCTGATGAACCAATCACGCCTCCCTGCTCGTTCTCTACACCATCGCCCTTTCTGAATAACCACAGTTCAGTAGTCAGTACTATTCAGTAGGAGTTTCAGTATACTGAACTCTCGTGGTCATTCAGGATGCATTTATTGAGTCCACCTCAGTATCCTGAACATTTCAGTATGGATACTAACTTCCTGGTTTCATGCAGTATGGATCGGATGCGTGCTTTCAGGAAATGAATTGTATTTTACCCACAATGCTGTGCGAAATTAAACGTAAATCGTCACATCACGTCCGCCTCCAAATCAAAACAAACGAGCGTGGATTAATTTAATCAGTTTTTAATCTAGAGTTAAAGTCCGTCTGAAATCACTACTTTAAATTAACAGAAAATATAAGAAATGTCTGCATTACTTTAAAACCTTTCTCCCTCTATTTAAATAATGATTTCACTATTTAAATGTCTTTATTGGTTTATTTTATATTCTGTATATTACCGTCTTTCATTTGTACTTTTCTTTATGTACTGTATGTTATTTAGTTATTTAATCTTTTACTTGATTTACATTGTGATATTGTTTTTTGTTAACCTGACTGTATATGTGCATTACTCTTCTTGAATAAAGCTAAACAAAAAAAACAAAAAACGGGTGAATGAGGCCGGTTCGGGAAACGTAAATGACGTCACTTCCTTACTAAGTAGGAACAAATATCTGCCTACTGAACAGTAGGTACTAACAGTATACAGCACAGATAGTAGGTACTGACTACTGACAGACTGAGAAGGTACTTGGCAATTCGGATACAGCCCCTGCGTGCACTATATACATGTAGGAGACAAACTGTCACCTGGTTGAGGGTTCTTGAAACAAAAAGGAAAGTACCTGATAGTAGGTATTCTGTCCAGCCTCGACTCAGGGCTCCAAGCGAGAGCATCAACACGCAACTCATGGTGGAAAGCGCGCAGGACATTGAACTCAACTCCCTCTACCTCCATGTCCTCCTCCTGTAGACAGAAATACGCATTTAAAGGAGAATAATAAACTGCATTTCTGTTTGGTAAATCCAATCATGTGAAGCCTTTTCTCTAACCTGGAAGAGGCAGGTTCCCACAACCACATACTGGTTTCCACCGTAGGCCAGCAGAGAGACGGGGGTGCCAGAGCAGAAAGGGCTGAATTCAACCACGTGAACGTAGTCCTCACATGGCAGCGTGTAAGTGGGAGTGCGGCTCGAGTCCTCCTGCATGATCATGGATCCTGGTAAAGCTTTATCTGGAAACAAAACCCAACAACACATCAACAAATATCTTCATTCATGCGTTGTTTACTGATGTTGATCTGTTTTTGCACATTTACATTTAATCTTCCTATTTAAGACTAGTAATGTTTAGTTAAATCCTGGTTGTATATATTCACATTCTTAGTTTTGATATTTGTAGTGCTTATTTACTTTGTAGTTAATATTATATTGTGTTTTTTTACTCATATTGTGTGTTTGATAACCTGCTGCTGTAACGCCACAATGTCCCAGTTTGGGATCAATAAAGTAATTCTATTATATTCTCATAGCAGTATATGGTATAATCCTAACTACTGAAAATGATGAAATCCAGTTTTCAGCATGAGCAGTTGCAGCACAAATAACTCAATAACCTTTAAATATCACAATTAAATCAGATGTTTCAAATGCACTCAGTGGATATGCACGTTTTTCACTAAATGTTTGGGGGGAAAAAAATCAAACCAAACCTCACTCACATATCAGCGTGTTTTAGAAATGTTAAATTTAAAGACAAACCATAAGCAGTAGGGCTCATAAAAGGTCATTTTTGAAAACTGTGGAAGCCACTGCTTTATTCGGCATACGTGAAAAAACAAGGCAGTGCTTTATTTTAGATATATTTCAATTTCAAGTTGATCCCATTAGCGCTGAGCTGAGGCTACTTTACGGGTTAAACTCCTAAATCCTACGATTAACTACTGCGGATTAGAGTCAAACACAGACGCCGAATTAAGCATCAGTCTTGCAAATAGTGAATGGTTTAAAATATCTCTCAAAACATTCAGCACACAGTTAAGCTGAGGAGCGATTAAAAAACATGAACATTTCTCTATGGGATGCAGTACAGCTGTTATCTGGGTCACCGCTTGCTAGCAATTCTCCAAATAACAGTTTATACTTCGCGAATTCATGTTTTAACAACTGTGGCTGAGTACATGATAGTTACCTCTTATTTATGGGGGTTTACTCCGATTCGGAACACTAAACCGACTGATTAAAAACTCACTATCCTTTTTGAAAAGTATGTATTTCACTCAAATGGTGCGCGCGTTTCATGTGTTGTGAAGCCTCTTCCGGGTTCGGCATGGAACGTACCACTAACGACAAATGCGAAGGGGTGTTTCGCGTGACGTATTTTCAAACATCGATTTCAAACGTGAAACATATCGGCTATTTTAAAGTTAATTGGGTTTTATTCGTGTCTAGTAGCACCTGTGTGGTCGTCTAATTTGGAAAAACTCGTTTAAAAATGCAGCGGGGGGAAAATGTATCATTTGGCGTCTCCTAATTTTGTTTGCTTCAAGCTGATTGGTCAAGAGCAACACACGTCATCAGTGATTTAAAATTTCAAAAACAGCTGCTTCTCGTCGTGGACGTGTGTTTCTCGGACGCGAACAACTGCAATATTACAGGTTTGCACAATGAATCTATATATTTTTGTGTTTTAAATTAACTCTAGACTGGAGTTATCTTCTTATGTGCTGCGGGAGTTTAAATAAAACACTTTCTGACTCATTTCTTGGCATAAATTGGAAACTATCTTGTTACCATTTTAAGGCCAACGGACTTTGTGTTTTCCTTAGAATGAAAAATGAACAAATTGTCTGAACTTGATCAGAAATGACTCTTGATTAAAGTGATCTAATATTATTACAGTTATTGAATCTTGCAGTGAAACCTGGTTCATTAATAAATGTTAAATAACTTTAACTTTTATGTTTTTCCAAGTTCTTGGGGAGTAATTACCTTTCTTTCTTTCTTTCTTTCTTTCTGTTTCAGGAAAACATGGAGGCTTTAGGTGACAGTATGAAGGTGGTGGTGAAGGTTTTTAGGAGAGAGTGCCACAGGGTTTTAGACTCTGAGAGGACCACCATTCATGGAGCTGATGGCATGCACATGGTGCTGCAGCTGGCCATGGCTGAAGTGAAAAAGCAGGTAACAAATCAAATCCTGTGATGAAAACAGATCTGCAAACATTCTTATCTCGTCCGTAAAGGAGAAACACTTCTACACACGCAAACACACACGACATTAACACACACGCTGTCTGTCCAAGAATTAAAAAAAACACTGGAAATGTGTGTAATGTCAAAAAATGTAACTTTAAATATTCATACTCAAGGTAATCCAGTCACTTATTATAGCAGAGATTTGTGTTGGCCTTTTGGTCAATGAGGCATTATTAAAATGCAGGGGTGGGAATCACAGATATATTAAAAGACAAATCTTTAATTATAATTTAAAATATGTTATTAACTGAAGAACTGAAGAATACAAAATGACCCCTAAACCATCAACAAGCAGGATTTAAGTATTTGTCACTGCAGTTTAATCTCTTATCACACTTGAACTCTTAACTTCTTTTCAAAGCAGTTGGACATTGTCACGCTGTCTTCTTCTTTAGCCAATCAGCATCAGCGCCACAGTAAGGAACCAGGAAGTAATGCAATTAAGAGAGAAACTGGCAGGAAAATCTGCCTTTAAAAAAATAAATAAAAATTAAATACTGATTTTTGGAACGGAGTCAGGGCGACCACATGAAGCTGTTTTGATATTCGTCCCACCCTTACTAAACCGTGCAAGGCCTCTATATTCTGTTGATCATTATAGAGCCAACCGTATCGAATGTGCAGTCAGCTCTGGGGAATTTCAAAATAAACTAACAAAACAAGAAGTTACCGTACTTTATATAATAACTGTGTTCTTACTATGAGTCACCCAGCAGCCCCCCAAAAAAAGAGAAAGTTGTGCGCGCCCGATTCACATCATCATAATGGCCTGATTCAATTGAACCATCAGGCTGACTGTCATCACGTCTGTAACTGATGACATTACCGCAGATTTCCGGCTGAGATCGCTCATGGCTCACTTTTGGACTGTGGGAGAAGGTCCTCGCTGCCTTTTTAAAAAAAAAATTTGTTAAGACTGATTGGTTCCAGGCTGTCGGTAATTACGGCTGCTGCTTTCACCGTTTTCTCTCTTCCTGTGACAGCGCGGCGGAGAGTTCAAAGTGGCCCTGAGTGATGTCCTGATGGCCTGGAAACACTTACTGTTAGACAAACTTCACCTGCCGCCCCCCGACTCTGCACGCCTGGAGAACTATGATCTCATCCGCGAGGCTTACGACTCCTTCCTGAAACGCTCCAACACGGTGGACCTGCTCGATATCTTCTCCATGTACAAACAGCTGAGGCTGGCGGACTCGGATCCAGATGAGCCCGTGAGCCCGGTGAGCACATTGATGATCAGATTGGCTACTCTCTCATAGATCGATTGATTTATCCCTCTAAATGCTTTTTTGTTTTTATTCTGTCACCAAAAGATCCAGATGTTTGAATTCTTATCTGGCAACATGGAGGTCTCCGGGTTGCCAGACTCCTCAGTCCCGTCAACACCGTCTAGTAGTCAAAGCAGGCGCTGCAGCTCACAGGTAAACCAAACCCCCTTTTTTTTTTTTTAAAGCACTAATAAAAGGTGCAATTCTGTCATAAACAACAAAGAAACCCCTCGTTCCACTTTGCCCTCTACCCTCATACGGATCATTTTTTACAGAAAAATGAAATCCTTTCTCTCCCTCTGGCGATAATCCACACTTTTACTTTCCCAGCTTTCACTTACTCAATTTCTGTCTGGACTCCGTCCTGCTCTTATTGACAGGAACTCTATATCATATCGTCCAGAGTTAAGAGCGCAATGTGACTTCAATTACCAGGCACATGTTTAAAACACAACATAATGTGAAGGCTGGAGAAGAGCTCCTGTAACAGACTCTCTCTCTCTCTCTCTCTCTCTCTCTCTCTCTCTCTTCTCTGTCACTTTTATTTATGAGTTATTTTAAGTTTGAGGCTTGCTGCTGCACCACCAGCTACAGTGATGTCAGTCATTGGAGTTTAATACGAGCTGTCAGCTGCTGTTTTTAGTGGTGTAGTAAAAAAGAAAAGTGTTGTCCCCTTCGGTGGATTATAAACACAACATAAATGGACTCAAGACACAAGTCTAACTAGAAGAAGAGTTTTAACACTGATTGGCTCTTTTAGAGGAGAATTGGATGAAAGGACTGATGGTAACAGCCGTGTTAGCAGCGTAGCTTAGCACAAAGAGCAGAGACTGTTTAGCTCGGTCTAAAGATGACAACATCTGCCTGTTTTCACTTGTTTGTTTTGAGAAGTGTAAAAAATGGTGATTCTTGTTAAGATAAGAGAATCCTTTATTTATCCCACAACGGGGACATTTATGATGTTACAGCAGCAAAGATTGCAAACACAAAGTGAACACAGTACAATTTAAATTAAAAATAAATATAAAAAAATGTACAAAAAATAGATCAGCTGATTCTTGTTAGGTAGGGCCATAAGCAGCTTGAATAAAATCTTTTTCTTTTCAGGGATTTAAGTGATGTTTATTCGGTTTATATCACCAGGTAAAAATGGCAGTGAGAAGGGTTTTCTGCTCCTATCTGAGTCTGCTCGTGAACGCCAAGAACGACATGGCCTCGGCGCTGACCCTCGACGTCCCCGACCGCGCTCTGGGACGGCAGGCTTTCACCGACGTGAAGCACGCCGCGCAGAACGACAACACTTCTCTCTTCCTGGTAAGAAGCAACACGACTCGGCATCATGTGCTTGTAGACATCGACGTCACTAGAATAACAAAACTACAATTCACTTATCAGACTCTTTTATCCAAAGCGACGTACATCAGAGCGTAAGAACAACACAAGCAAGGATGTAGAAAAAAGGGAACAATGTCAGTAAGAGCAAACGATCAGCTTTGAGTCTGATTGGACACACAGGTGCTGACAGGAAGTGACCAGAGGCAAAGCACAACATTGAGGGCAGTTCTTGAGAGCTCTAATCAGTATAGAAACCATCTTATAAGTCGTCGTTATCAAACAAAAACCATCGTCATTACCATCATCATCATCAACAATATGGAGACCATCATCATTAAGTTAGTAGGTATTCATGAAAGAGCTGGGTCTTTAGCTTTTTCTTAAAGGTGCAGAGGGACTCTGCAGATCACATGGAGTTTGGAAGTTCATTCTACTCAATTCTTCTCAAAACTACGACCTGAAAGCGTCTTAAATCCTCTCCGCTGGGTCTGTTTCATGCTTCTTCTTCTTTTTTTCGCAGGCTGTGACATCTTTTGTGAGGGCCATCCAGCTCGGAGGGAAGGGCTACGCTCCAGCTGAGTCCGACCCGCTGAGGAAACATGTCAAGGGCCTGTCGGACTTTGTCCAGTTTATAGACAATCTGGAAGAAATACTGGGGGAGGTTCCTGACCCAAGGTACACTATTTCAGCTTCATCTGTGCCCTCCACACTCACTCCCTGTTTTACACTTTCCTCTGAGTGGATAGAGTCAGAAACCAGGAAGAGAGAGAGAGAGAGTGGGGAGAGGAGCAACTGGTTGGATTTGAACCAGGCCACCCGCTTGTAGCGCGCACTAACCTTCAGGCAAATTGGAGAAAAAAAGAAAAATGTGTGTTTGTTGCAGCTGTTTGTTCTAGTCAACATATTTCTATGTCACTTGTTTGCAGAAGCTAATCGATGAAAAATAGAACAAGCTGCTTCCTGTCATGCACCGCTATAAAAAAACAACTCCTCTGTTGTTTACTCTTCTGACGTCTAATACTAATAAACATATTTGGATTCAGAGAAATCCTCCCGAGCTGATTAGGGGAATTCACAGATTCCAAGAAAGGCCGTGCGTGTGTTTCTATCTGGCAGCGCCTGAGGTCGCAGTCGACGACGGTGATTTATGCCCGAGTGGGATTTTCTTTGAATTGCTGAAACCCAACAGGAGCGTTTCCTCTCTCCTGTGAGGACATTTGAATTCTAAATTATGAAGCCGACCTTATTCCTGCTACTGTTTCCTTTTACTTGTGGGGAATATTTACAGGCCTGGCAGGCTCCTGTGCACTTACATCACACCTGTGATCATAAATCCACCTGTCCCACTCGCTTTCCTTATCATATCCTTTTTAAATCCCTTGTAATGACTCCCGCAGCATCAAGCTGCTCATGATAACATTTGGATTGCTTAAGCATGTTCATCTTTGCGAGATCAAAGCTCCTCTTTTTCGTTGAAGGACGCGTTGGAGCTCTTACTTTGATGAATTATCGTCAAACCTCAGATCATTCCTTGAATCATTACGGATCATTTTTGTCAAAGCACCTGGCACCACAACACAAGAGGCTATCAGAGATGATTTAGTGTTACGTTCCACCATGCGAGGGGTTGAGCTGTGGGGTGAAACTGTTAAGAAAGAGCTCAGGAAGCGACGTTAACTACACATTGTGGTGTTTTTTTGTGCAGCGACTCGACTTTCTGAGGGTTCTCGGTTCATGAAGACTCTTATGAGAGCGCTCGAGGTCTGAAGAGACACCGGTGAACCCGGCCAACATGTGTCTTTCAACAGACAGTGCCTTGACGCTCTCGGTGGAGTACTGTGTTTCCTCATACAAACACCTTCTGTGGAGAGTTCAGGGCCTTTGTTCACTGAACATCTGTTTTCCCAAATGATTCTGTTACTGAGCCCGGCTCGTTCACATCAGAGCTGGGTCAGAGTTGGACCTCTGCCTCTCTCTCTACCTTTTTCTGGATCCTTTTTTTTCCAGCATGTGTTAGAGCACACAAGATTTATTACCAGTACCATACCAGTATCAGAAATGCCTCTGCCTGCAGCTTTAAAGATCCCACATTATTCTTATTTTCACTCTCGTATTGTCAGTCTGTGAAACCTACAGAGAAGCTTTGACTCAAAAAAAAAATCTTTATTTATTCTGGCTTCAGTGAAAAAACTCCAATTTCAGCCTCTGCCTGAAATGGTTTGTTTCAGCTGCTGTCTCTTTAAAGGCTTTATGTGATTTATTTCATCCAGCAGATGTCGCCCTTGAGCACCAGCATGAAACCAAAACAACTTGTGCTTCATTGTTGTGTTAGCATGCTAATGCTAGCGATCTTTATTATGCTGGTATCTTCACACTGCATGTAAATTTACCTGAAATGAGCGTGATCTAGAAACACAGTTAAGCAGTGAGTACAGTATGTTATTCTTCTTTTCTCTAGTCCCTCAATTAAACAACTTTTATACACGAGGGGAGGAGTCAGCCGGCCGTCCGGGCGATGTAAACAAACTGAAGATAGGACTCTGAAAACATCACAGACAGTGGGACTCGGTGTTACACCCATTGTAGACAGTCATGACTCACAGAGTTATTTTCAGAGGATAGACTTGATTTCTACATTTAAGTGTGAAAAATCGCATTTAAAGCCTCTAAGGCCCCCCTCCCCCACGTGCCCTTCTGATTGGCCAATTCTCTGGAAGCCTTCCAGGGTGGGGCAGAACACTGCAGGGTCTACCAGCAGAGGGCTCTCCAGAGCTGGGAGAAGAGAGCCTATGTAAAGAGGTTTTAACAGCTTATGTAGAGGCTTTGAAGTCGTCTTGGCTCTCATCTCGGGGGAACTGTCGTGTGAGTTGCAGAACAGCGCCGTTGAGCGCCCTCTGCAGGCTTATAGTGGGATTACTCCAAGATACGTTTAAACTGGTAATATATCAGTTTTTGCCCAGGTAAAAACTCACAAAGCATTTTCTTTTCACATTGTTACATTTTGAGGACGTTGATATTTTTTCTGTGAAGAGATTTTCATCAGCGTGTCTAAAAAAGGAGTTCAGATGTTTTTCTCTTCGGCCCTGACCTGGACTTCTTAAAGAAACCCGACATGATGCCCTTGACTGTTAGAAACCCTACAGAAGAGATATGTTACTGTAGTTTTTGGACATGACGCGCAGATGATCGTGTAAGAAAATCCCCCCCCCCAAAAAAAAAAAAAAAAACTCTAAGAGGAAAATCCTGGAGTTTCTCTCTCTCTCTTTCACAGTACATTGGTGGGAGCTCTGGCAGTGCCCGGCGTGCATTAAAACAGGGATTTAGATGGTACTTTCTGCTATGTAACTGTTAACATTGGCACGGCTGAGAGGCAGAGGGGGAAAAAAAAAAGCTCAACTTGGAGTTAAACACTGCAAAAAGTGCTCCGAGATCTTAAAGTCAGTAACCAATAAATTGAAAGTCAAAGTGCTGTATATCTCCTGGAGACGTTGAAGGCTTTTCTGGGTTTTCCGAGCTATTCATGTTGGCAAATTTTGGCTGAACTTTCTGATGCTAATACTTCAGTCCGGAGGAAAAATCTGTGTGTGTGTGTTCTGCAGAAGAAGAGTCTTATAAGCTCTAACTCTTACGACTGTCTTTGTGTTTTGTTTTTTTCTCAGTGTGTGTGGAGCCAAGCTGGTGACCGCCATCAGGTCTGTGCTCGTGAAGGGACGCAGCAGCGAGGACGCCGTCTACGCTGCAGCAGAAGAGACGACGACGGAGCTGAAGGAGAGGGTCCGCCAGCTCCACCTGATCCAGAGACAGAGCGCTGATGGAAGCGGGACGGGGATAAGCCCTGCCAGGGTAATGTACAACCCCATGCAAATCCAGCCAGGCAGCTAACGCTTTTGGCTTTTGCGTCCACATTTCTTCCCCCTTTTTTAAAAGTCAAGTTTTGTGAGCTAACGATTGATGCGTTGTCGGCCCTCTCCAGCCAAAAGCCTACGCAGTCAATCACGCCACGGCGTACGGAGGTCGGGACACGGTGAAGGTGCTGATGGCGCTGCTGGATGAAGACGCTCTGAAGCCTCCGTGCAGGAACAAAGCAGATCTGCTGTCCGAGGATCAGCCCGTCCTCAGCGGAGCGGAGGGGACCTGCATCCTCACGCTGTTCAGGTCGGCATGAAATAGAGAATTTGAGGTTAATTGTTAGACGTGTGCAGATCTTCAGCCACGCCAGCTGTGTGCACATCAGTCCACCACTGAAGTCCAAATGAATTTACCTGAACAGCTACTGGACGGATGGGGGTGGGATTTGGTACATACTTTCTTGACCCTCCCCGGAAGATGAACCCTAATGACTTTGGGGACTCTCTTGAAAAAGCTGACACTGGTTTGGAGAGATATGTGGAAACCTTTGGGGAGATTGAGGTGAAGTTTGAATGCGTCCCACTTATTTTTTTTAAATAATTCTTCTTCTAACTTTCCTTCTGGCGTCCTCATCAGGTCTGATGTTCAGTTTGACAAATACTTAGTTACCGGTGACAAGGCTGTACAGCTCATGACATTCCCACATGAGTTAGCTTACCTTTACTAGCTTGCTCTAAATTCAAACGCAGGATTAACATTTACGTCGTAGCATCGTTGCACCAAAAAGACTGTTTTATTTGTTTTCAGTTGTTGCTCTGACAAATTGTGTAGATTTGTCATTATTACATTAATATCTTCTGACATTATGAGGAGCAGTGTTTAGGATTTACTGGCATCTAGTGGTTAGGTTACACATCTGAATCTGCTGTGACAAAAAAAAAAAGTCCTTTTTTCAGATTTTTTGTTTGGTTTGTCTCTAGATATGAAGCACTAAGCGAATCTTTTGTCTTGTGTTCAGGCATTATTAACAGATACATTCATATCTTCCAATTATTCTTAAAAAAAGAGGTTTTATGTGTAAATTGAGGATCCAAGGACAAATTTCTTGACCATCGTGTGACAGTAGAAACACTTGGCCATTAGTTGTTGAATCGTAAGATCACAATCACAACGTTTGGACCAGAGGTCTTCTTCAGGCGATCCTTCTTGAACCTGAAGAAGACGTTTGGTTGAATTGTGATGAATTAAAAAAATAAAATAATGTGTGGCTGAATCGTAAGGTTAACCATGTTGATGCAGCCCTGAATCAAAGCTCTAAATTCTGTCTTTGCACGATTGTGACACTGTGGACAGAAATCCAGTGGAGCTGGATCTCTGACAAAACTTGCAAATGTGTCAGTAGATCCACAAAACAAACACATCTGTGCTACATCCATTTAGTCATAAACATTTTTGCAACAATAATATCGCCATGACGACGCGATGGGAGTCAAATTAAACCACAAACCCCATCATGATAGGACTTTGTCCAACCGTCCCATCGCCTTATTTATTTTGTTTTTGATGTTTTTATTACCCCATTATTTCCAACCGCACCAGGATTCAGCAACAAAAATTACACCAACATGACACTAACTCTCCCCTGAAACCATCTAGAGGAAAATCCTCCCACACCACACTGGAGCAATTTCCCCGGTCAAACATCTGAAAAAGAATAATAACGTGAAAAATAGCCTCTGGATGTTATGACGGAGGTGGTGACATGGAGCGGCTGACCTCTCACATGCTGCTCCTCCGACATCTGACATGTTGGAAAAAAAAAAAATGTCCAAAAAGCAGTTCCTGGATTTATTTTTGTTTTCATGTAACATTCTTGTTTTTCTCATTTTATTAACCTCTTGTCTTCATCTTGCATTACTTCTTTCCGCCCCTCAGATCCCCTGAAGTGTCCACTGGTTGTTCTCCAGAACCTCTGAGAAACCGAGTCCAGAGCCGACTAGACCTGCTCAAGCCCAAGGTAACACGGGCCCCCCTTTTTCATCCAAACCATCAGTTAGCTCCAAATTGAATCAGATGTACAAACACTGAAAATAATGTCTTTACAGCCTGTAATTTCTCCTCTGGTTTTCTATGATTTGTTTTCTTAGCTGAAGCGCACATCTTAACTGACTTCCACCGCTCTCGTTTGCACAGCTGTGTTTTAGCTCTTAGTGTCGTTTGAGGGTGCCGGGTAAATGCAGCGGCATAAAGCGGCTTATATATCGTGGGGGGATTCAAACCATTAACCTATCCGGATGATAAGTTGTTCTATTGTCAGGGGCCGGCGCCACTGCACAATGAAAACATAGAGCATATCCGATAGAAGGATCTGACTGACTTCCTTCCTCTTGAGCTCGGATGTTCTCTTTGTACCTGAATGTTTCCAGGTTCAGTGTAAGAGAATCTGCTCAGCAAGATTATACAACTTTTATTTTAGAATAACGCTGACTGAGGTTGTGATCTTTGGTTTTTGCATTTGAATGTAGGATTTTTTTCCCTCAGATTTCTACTCATTGGTGTGTCTTCTTCTTTGGTGGGTTCAGCTCACACTTGGCCCAGTTGCCCGGTACCCTGCCCCAAGCGCAAACGCCCTCCCCCCCCTTCCCCGTTCCCTCTCTGCCATCCTGCACTCACATTGCTCCAGGCCCAATCGGGGCCTTTGCACAGCTATCTCTTGTCCATAAGTCATCACATCATAACACTGATTTTCAAAAAGGCCTCCAAGTTTTTTATCCAGCTAACTTGTGTTTTTTCGCATCAGCCCCAATTTGGAGCAAACACTCAACCTACACATCTGATCAACGGGAACCCTTTGCCTATAATGTTTAAATGATTGACGAGAGGAAGGTTTGCATCCATTGGGCTATACGTCATGTCCACGTTGTGTAGCTGTTGAGCTGAGCTCACCTTGCTGAAGCCAACCTCTTCAAACTGTAACAGAGTCAAGGAAGTGTTCCCTGCTGGGACACAGTATGGAGCCGTCACATAAGTCAAACAAACTGGACTTTGGGGGGTCAAACGTGCTCAACTGGCAGGGTACAGGTGACCTAGTGTGAGTGCTTCCTTTTTCATTTTGTCATTGATGGAAACCGAGCTTAAATGACAAACAAGGAAGGTGGTTGTTAAGGGGAAAAAAAGGACAAACAATCAGCAGTGAGAAGAGTTTAAAAGAAGCAAAAACTACAAAACTGAAGACGACACAGGTAGTGAACATGTAGTGGACCGTCGTATGGGATGCAGTGGTATTTTAAAGACTGTGTTATTGAAGAAGAAAATGTCCTGGTTGGAAAAACTCATTCAGGTGCTGATTTATGCAGATTGGGACCCTGCTCAGTGCTCACCCTGTCCAGGCTCTCTGTACATTATAACATATAATGAACATGTTTCCAAGCCCTACATACCCATCTTTTAAAGTTCATATCTTACATGCATGAATTTTCTTTCTTCTTATACATTATACTTTAACACTTTTAAAAAACAGGACAGATATATATTTTTTTTACGGTGTAGTGTTGCAACCTTTACAGCACGTCTCCTGCAGCCTCTCCAGGCTCCACACATGCTGAGTCAACCCCAAACGCCCCGGCATGTCCAGCTTTAGATTTGAACGTGGGTCTAATCGTTCAACATAAAGTAACCCCGGCTGTGTGAACTCTTGTGCGTGCTGCTAAACACATTTTGTGAAATGGCTCCCCTTTATTTGATTGAGCTAGCAGATGTCACTTTAGCTCCCCACACTCTGGCTGCCTTCCTGTTTGAGTGCGCTGTAATGGTCCCTGGGCAGCTCACCGCTTCCTGAACTCGGCGAGCGGAAGCTTTCTGCATCAATTTTCACTTTGAAGATGCCATATCAGTCGCGTAATTCGACTAGCAAAGGGGGGAACTTGAAAGGTTATTGTTTCCTGTTGTCTGCTCGATGACTTTATCCCAGACTTTGTCCAGCGGGTTTCATCATGCGCTGACGTCAACCCGAGATGGGACAGATTTAGTTTCTGCTTTTTGGGACGTTTTCCAAATCTCTTTTCTCGGGGGCCACAGATGATCAAAACACTTGACTCGATCTCCTAATGTGGCGCTATCTGCACTCTCACTCGTATGCGTGTTGCAGTAATGATGCACCTGTTCCTCGTTCTCACTTCTATCACCTGCGCGTGAGAAACACATCGGCCGCAGAAAATTGTTTGCACCTGTTTTTTTAATTTTATTTGGAATCAGGAATGTGTTGGTCAGGTGTCTGCGGCGTCATGTCAGCCGGTGCACAGAGGTTATTTCGGGACATCCTCCTTCAGAGGAATGAGGGCCGTCTGACCGCACGGTGCCACGTTGGGGCTCCCACCTGTTGTAATTGGATTAGATGTTCTCCCGTCAGTCACAGTTTGGCCGTGTTCACTCTTCCATCCCCTCCCATTGTTTCCGAGGTGCTCCAGATATGTTTTTATTAGCATGCAACAGGGCAGCGTACATTTTTAGCTCACTTATTGAAGTGTGCCTTGATTTTGAAGGCTTGCTGTTGTTTTTAGGTCGCTCTTTTTTTTTTTTTAAGAAGTTTTTTTCAAAAGAAAAAGGCACAGAGAGGCTTTGATCCCTTTGTGCCTCACGGACCCACCCAGCTTTGCTCGCTGCATTATTTCCCGCAGATTTCTGCCACTGGCCTGAAGGGTGAAATCCTTGGATCGTGATAATCTCAAGCAGACATAGATCAAACAGTGGATAAAAAAGCTGTGGATCTGTTTTTCCCCCCAGAGCTGGGATTTGTAGCCTTCAGTATCATTCACATTGTTCTAACTGATCTAAAGCTTTTTAATGAGCTGCTGGTCGACTGTCTTTGAAACAGAAAACTGATTCTCTTGTTTAAACTGGGGCAAGTACATAATTCACCTTTCTTTATCAATGACTGTGGCGTCTTCACGTGGCCTAAAGGACTAAATGTATACACGCTAGTTTAGCTTCTAAATGGATGAAGAGGATATTAGGAGACATTTTGAAAATCCTTCAATTTCAATTTGATTTTCTGGTGTCAAATTTAATTATTTTGCGATAATGGAGCTCCCTCCTCTTCTTCAATTCCCAAAAAACTGACCAAAGTTAAAGCCAGAAACTTTAGCCCCTCGCCCTTGTTGGAGGACAAATCAGCTTTCATACACATTCATTGTTCCTAGACTAAACCCTCAAGACTTTTAGATCCTCTGACTTTCTATGGAGCACCACCAGCAGTCGAAGAAGGGTGGGGCTTTTTATATTTCAGAAGAAATCTTTAGACGTATCTGTTACTTTGGTTGATGACCAAATACCTGCAAGATGTCGAATCAGAATCCCATCGGCCTAAATCCTGACACTTCAGAAAGGACGTTTTAAAACCTGGACACCAAGGCCCACCTGTACAGGGTCAGAGACGCTAGCTAGCCGTGATATAGCAGCTAAGAATAAAGTTGGGTTTTCTTTCTGTTTTTATTCCAGGCCGAAGACAAAGTCATTCGATCCCAGTTTGCGTGCACATACAAAGATGAAGAACTGCCCCTGAACCGCGTGCTGGAGTTCCCCAGCACCAGCCAGGTCCCGTCCTGTGTGCACGCGGCGCCCAAACCCAAAACCCCTCCAGCTGTGGATGAGGAGACAACAACAGGTACAGATTCAGTCTTTATTTCACCAAATCATACCGATTTTAATAAGCTTCACTGCATGCAGAAAAAAAAAAAGCTCAAAACAAGGGATAGATTTCTGTTTCGTCTGACGCCACAGAGTTGGACCGAGGCCCAGGCACACCGTCTCAGCTCCAGCCTTGACCTCTTCTCAGCCCCAGCCGTGGGACTGGTGCTTATATCATTATATTAAATGAGTCCCCCTTTCTATAAAAACCTGCTCACGTCCACATCTGTAAAGCACACACTCACACAGACTTTTTGCCCATTTCCCCCCTCTGTCTTTTGTTCCGTGGGAATTCAGGCTCGGCTCCATCAGGTTACATGACAGATGTTAAATTTCAACTTCGCAGAGTAAACACACAGCCTGCTTCAGCTAGCAGCTAACGTCAGCAATTTCGTCACAGCATTTTCCCTTTTTTTTTTTTTCCCGACCAGGTTGTCACATTTGCTTTTGCTCTGTTTCAATCTTTCCAGACGTGCCTACTTCCATCTCTGAAAATAAGAAACAGAGCAGTGAACAGCGGGGAGTCGCGCTCGGGCCAAGAAGTGGAAATGCCCAACACGGACTCGCGGGAAGTAGAAAGAAAACTGGCGCTCGGATGCAAAACAAGGGCAACAAGAGGAAGCAGGTGGATTCTGACCAGCAGGGGGGATCAGAAAATGAGCCTCCACAGAAAAAACAGCCAACTAGTGTCTCTGTGAAAGTACCCAGCAAGAATGTGGGCAAGACCTCGAGTAAGAAAAAGCTGATAGCAGGGCAGGGGAAACTTACCAGCTTCTTCAGAGTTTGACGATTATTTGTTCTGCTTTCATGCTGTTGCGGTGGACAGACTGTAGAACGACGTTCAGCACGGAAGGTCGTTCGTTTTTGTTTTTGTTTGTAATCTGGTGTTGCAGGGGGATTTCCAAATGAGGCTTTCAAACAGTCTGATAAATGTGTTCAGGAAACGGCTTCACAAGGAACTAAGCGATTAACGGTAGATGAAGGAGTTCAAAACTGCGGTCGACTCTGTACATTACACAGAGCCGGAGCTAGCATCGGTTTCGCTTAAAAGTAAGCTGGAGCTAGCTAGCTTACTTATTTTAGCGAAGGACTAGAAGCAGGTGTATACAGCTGGCGAGCTAAAACCTGCAGCTACATTTAGAGATCTGGCAAGCGTATTTCAAAAACTTCAGACAGAACAAGCCAAACTGTTTGACCCCTTATTGCAGATTTTTAAGCTAAAACTAAGCTAACGCTGCTCGCTGTAGCTATAGCTATATAGAGTTAATATCTATCTCTATAGGGTGATTAATATATAATGTGTTGGTTAGCTTCAGGTAGTCTGGTAAAGTTTTGTTAGGCTACATTTAAAAACAGTCTAAGCTAACTGGTTCCCTGATTTCCAGTCTTTTTGCTGAGCTATGCTAATCCCTAGCTTTAAATTTAGCATCGCACCGATACTCTCATTTGTCCCTCGGATCGAGGCTGAACATGTGTGCTGCCTCCAATTGATTTATTTGATTAATATATTTAATTGATTTCTTTGTAAAGAAGTCAAATGACTGTGTTTATAAATAACAATCGTTAGCACAATTTTCGCTGATTCATTTTCTGTCAATGAAACAGATTCATTGATTTCACCCAAACTGCAACAACAGCTTTTACCTGTCGAGGAGTTTTTTTGTAAAACGCACCTCCAACCTCCAGTTGTATAGTTTATATTTAACCATGAAATCTGTAAATATGATGCAAATGTTTCCTTTTAAATAAACTTTTATTTTTTTTTGTACATGCTCATTTTTCTGTTTTTTTTTTTTTTTTTTTCACACAATGAGGAATATTTTATTTACAGCACATTTTATGAGAAAGTGGCAGGACGGTTGGTTAGAGATGATCCATTTAAACCTCCCAGCAGGGTCGGTACACTCTGCCTATCATACACCGCAGCACTGAAAAGGTGAAAGAAGAAGACTTAATTAGTCAGATTAAATATCGAGATGTATCGTTGATACTTGAGGAAATCCTGGAAGCTTCTGATTAATACAGAAGGAGGAGTTTGTCTTGACTTACCGTCGAGTTTGTTGTCTCTACGGTCGATTTTTAAACTTGTCTCCGCTGGATTGTAGCTCGCGCTTTGGTCTGTGAGCAGAGGAAAGCTCCGAGTAAAGAATGGATTCAGCCTTCGGACGCCGTGTCCCTTCAGCATCATGTCCTGCAACACAAGATATTGATCAGTGATTACATGTGGCACCATACGTTTCCACACTGCAGGGTTTGACATTTGGTCATCGGTAACCGTTTGCATAACAAGAATAACTTGTAGCACAGGTGTTCGATCTTCATTTACCAGCGTATCCAAGCCACGGGAACCCCAAATGGAACAAATGTGCTTCCTCCTTTTTACTACATCACAGTGGCCCGTTTTCTCTCCAGATGGCTTTGTTCTCTCCATCATGGCCGCCTGTTCCCCATTACACCGCAGAGATAACCACCATGTTCACAGCACACTGGGGGCGCAGCCTCCAGATAAACTCTTCACGCGTTGCAGCCAAACGTTTGAGGGAACCCAGAAATATCATCATTCTTCCCACTGTGATTCCAATAAAAATTTTATGGGCTCGCGATCATTTGACCTTTTTGAGCTAATAGTATTTCCCGGTTTTTCCAACGCTGCCGTTAAAGATTTTCATAGATGTGAGTATAATGTTGACTTAACAGTGGACATAAGGGTGGTGGCCGATTGAAAGGGGTCAAATGTTCAATAAAAGAATCGACATAATGTGCTCTTTGTTGTTGTTGAACTATGGTTAGCTGCTAAACTGTTTATAGAGAGAAATCTCACAATAAATAGTTATGATGCATGACTGTCATTGGCGTAGGAAAAAGCTGCAAAAGGAGTCCAGCCAGAAACTTTTATTTGGGATAAAAATAATCCAAATAGCTGGTTTCTTTGCATTCTTTTGTTTGTTTTTTATTTAGCTAACAACAAATTTAAAGATTTGGTTAACCCATTCTAACAAAAACGTCTCCATAAACAAACAAGTGTCCATGAGACTCGAGGAGAACCAACACTTGGTGCCAACAGTCTTCATAGGGACTATTTCTTTGGTGAAAAGTGCGTCACATGGAAACAGATTTTTCTTTTTTTTTTGTATAATATCATTTCACGGTGTAACAGGTACATTGTTTTTGGAAAGACACGAGGCTCCTGAACACTTTTCAGTGCTTTCACCTTGAAAAGAAAGCAAGTTTCCAGGTAGTGAAAAGTAAACCTGATGAACTTAAGAGCTTAAGGACTTTCCCAACCTGGCAACCCGAGTGTTTGTGTTATTAATGGCTTATAACTCCTGTCAAAAGGATTGGTTTATTACTCATTACTGCTTTAGTTAGATTCTTTTTTTTGTATTTTCCCTGACACTTTGGATTAGTAAGACCTGATACATACAAAAACTAAACATAAACTTTAAACATGATCCTCTCATGGGAACAATGACATTTCACAACCATTTAAACAATGTGGAAGAAATGTAAAAACTGCATTTTTTTTTAAAGAACACTGATGTGGAAAAAACAAAACAAAAAAAACATTTTCCATTTGTTTTCCTTCTTTAGCATTCTGCAAAGTTTCAGCACTTATCAGCAGAATTCACCCAAAATGTTTCATGTAAAATTTAGAAATTGAAAAACAACGTATAGGCTTCTTATGCAAGAACAATTTATTCTCCTGTAAACTATTTCTTCCATCGTTTTCACTCATGATTTTTACATACTTGGAAACTATCCCAGTCGAAGTTGAAGCCGACTTCCTTCGTTAGCGCATAGCTTGTTCCTGTTGCCGGTCAAAATACCAACTTCATTAAGTTGAGGTTTTGCACCTTGCAACCTTGGTCTTTGTATTGTTTAATTTTTTTAAATCTATTTTTTTAGTATCTATTTGTACATTCTTAAGTTTTCATTTAAATTGTACTGTGTTCACTTTGTTTGCAATCTTTGCTCTTTATTGCTGTAACAATGTAAATTTCCCCGTTGTGGGATAAATAAAGGATTATCTTATCTTATCTTATCTTATGAGAATGTAGAATAACTTGGAAAAGATTGGTGCCATCTTGTTTTTACACTAGTCTGCGTATTTTGCTACCACTACCAAGGGTTGGCTGAAAAATGTCTCCAAATGAGAAGACGTTGCAGATGGCTGTTCCCCAATAAGTGTGGTCCTTCTTGAGGTTTCTGCCTGTTAAGAAGAAGGTTTTTCTAACCACCACCCCGATGCTGCCAAGTGCTCGCTCATGAATAGAATAATGAAGAAATCTAATAGGTACCATTATCTTGCAATTTCAATGTTTTACTTACTGAGACGAAGATGATTCTGGGACTTTCCTCTTCATCCTCCACGTTGTTGTCCTGCACACTTCGTCTGTACACTTGGGGAACCACGCCGCGCTCTGCCATCGGCTCATCCCTCAGCAACAGGCCGAGGCCGTCTTGCTCCGCCATGTTGTCTCTGCTTTAGCTGCGGGCATTGCTGCGGTGACGGAGAGGCCGCTCAGCTCGGAGAACAGCACCAGAGTATACAGGAGAGAGTAGAGAGAGATCATGATGTCGGCGAAGTCTACAATGTGTGGTTGATCTTCTTCTCTCTGCCTTTTTTCGAACTATAGCGTCTGGGCTCTGAGCTGTCTTATATATTCAGTGAGAGGGCATTTTGTGTACAGCGCAGAATTTTTAAATGTGAAAAAGCTTCATGTCTCCTGCAGATGTGCATTAACCTAAAAGGGCAACAGTCACCGGAAGTTGAAAGGTCAAAAGCAAAAGTATTTTTCTGTTGACAAGCGTTCATTCATAGAAATGAAATAGTGAATTACTCCTTTTAGTCTGTTTAGAGACGTCGTGATAAGGGAATAAAAACAGACAGCAAGAGAGCTCACAGGCGTTCAAAGGGCAGGGCTTAATTTAAAATCATCCACACGCTGAAATGAAACCAGCAGGCGACAGGACAAATACGCATTTAGAGTCATTTTCTCTGAATGGCGTCGGGGGGGGGGGGGGGCTTGACATGGCGGATAAAAACCCTATGACGCGTCACCCACAAAAGGTCAAAGATTGAAGAAAATCTCACAACACCTACCTGCTTGTGTGGCTTAAGAGAGACAGACGCAGACATGTTGTGTCTTCGACAGCTTAGCCAAGAGATCATTTGGCCAGGACTGAAAAATAGAGGAAGTCTCGCTCCATTGAATGCACGTTTGCTGGCTTCGAGGCAAAGTAAGCTGTTGGCCATCAATTTTCAGCTCTTGTGCAATGCTAAGCTAACAACTCGTATTTATTTTACAGATCTGAGTGATATCAAGCTTCTCATCTTAATCCCCGAGCTTTAGAAGCTTATGTAAGCCGGAATTGTAACTTTTCAAAGAAGGACATGCTAACCTAAGGTGTTTTCATGAATTACCACTTCTTATGTAATGCTAAGCTAAACTAAGCTAGCACGTTGATGGGCGTAACCCCATATGTGTTTCATAGAAAGCGGTATCAAACCTTTTGATCTCATTCTTAACAAAAAGAAAAATAAATGTATTTCCCCCAAAAAATTGAGAACTCGATACGCCGCAGCTCCGCAATCAAGCCTTAAGGGCGTTTGATGGACGAGCACCCACACCAAGGTGGCGTTCATCAAATGATATTAAAGGGTGGAGGCGTTCATGTTGACATAGCTCCTCGCAGGCTTCTTCTCGGCTCAGACAGCTTACCTTATTAACATCACAGGAGCCTCAGGGCAGGGGGATGGAGAACCGGGACATGAATAATAGCTATTGAACTCAGCTGAAGTGATTTTACTTGGAGCGGTCAGCCTTTATTTTGTAAGTATTATTGTTGGAGGGCGAGGACTTCTACTGAAGGACTGAACTCGTCCACAGGGGCTCGGTCGTTCCAGCAGAAGCACAACTGAACTTGTGAGCTTCGCGCTCTGTTGTTGTAACCTTTCTCGCTCTTCCTCCTCTCGCTGATAATCTGTACCTCCCTTTCCCCATATTTCCACTGATATTCACTGTATTAACATGCTGCTACGGACGGTATATAGGCACCCTGCAAATCAATGCCCACCTATCAGCTTTCTTGGCACCTGAACTGAGAGGATTCAACGAACTCTTGAGACGCGGTAACGGTCTTTATCTAGTGACTGAGATTTTTCCCTGCTGTGAATTTCTAAGAAATCATTACCATAATTTTCTAACAAAAAAAAAAACGTTAGCAGAAGAAGCCAAGAGGCCAATAATCTTATGAGGACCAGATGTGATTTGGTGGGTATCCATGAACATTATTTACTAAATCTTTGTTTCCACAACGCAGCTCGTCAAACCTTCGATGCTAGCCAATAAACTTTACTCGACTACTGTTTCTGATTTGCATTTGGTGCTGTTTGTAAGCAGGGATAATTGCGTCCAGATTCAACTTGGCTATCTTGAACTCGAGGAGGCTGCAGCAGAGTAGTTGTTCATCGGCTCTGTCAGCTGCTTGCATCACCTGTCAGTCGCTTGGTGCTGTATTTCAATCACACCGCCTACGTCTCTGTGCGTAAGGAGACCTCAAAGTCCAGGGCCTATGACATCAGCAGCAGCATTGTTTTATAATCCTCTGGGGGGCAACACATTATTTCCTCGTCCTGTTTTTAACACACTGCCTTTCATCACCAACACTCATCTTCTAAAAGGGAAAGTAAATACTGTCACAGCAGACGGGGAAACGGGTCCGGTTCCAAGGAAATGTGGTGCACCCAATTGCTCCACGCGTGATGTTTGATGTCTGTGGTTGTGCCAGACATCGGCGTGCTGCATTCAGGGTGCAAAAAGAGAAGAGGGGGGCACTGCAATTTTTTTTTTTTTTTGTTGTTGCCCAGAGAACAGACCATGGTTTCCTGGAACAATGCAGCTGATGAGAGTTCCCTCCAAGGAAAATAAGGCTCTGACATCATGGGTTCTTAAAGCACACAGCTGAGCCAACACTCGCTCCTGCTATAATCAAGCCTCAGTGAATTTCCACTGTCGACTCAATATCCAAAAACGAGGAGAATCTCCTCTAATGGTCAACATACTTTTTTTTTTCTTGAAACTACCTGCATGCTATCACCCTCGCCGTGGCATTAGGCTCATAAATGATGTTCTGTTGTGTGTCTACTTCCTTTTACATCTTGCCTTGGCGCAGGATATCATATGTAAAGGGACAAAGCTGGTTTCTAGCCTCTGTTATTGTGAATATTTGAAATGAAAGGTAAAGTAAATGCTGAGTAGACAACAAGAGAAGCAAAAGTAAAACCAAGCAAACTGAACTCCTGTGTGTCCTACCAGAAAAAGAAAAAAAAAACCTGAATGTTTAAAGACTGATGAAGCCTTACAACCACTTTTCCCTCTGAAACAACCAGTAGAATAAGTAGTAAAATTGGTGAGTGTAGTAAAACAGACCACAAGGTCATTCAAAAGACAATTGTGTGCTTAAGATGAGGAGTTGAAGAGTGTGGAGAGATTGTGTTTCAGGGCTTGGTCCAAACTCTGTGTCCTCAGATGCACTGGATCCTGAGTGCACGCAGATCAATGGGAACGGGTTGTGTTCTTCCCAGAACCATCCTGGTCCTTGAGGTTATTCAAACATCTTTGTGTTGCGCTCCTCGCGTCTCCATGTAATCTAAATTTAGCATATATAGGAGAGTAAAGAGATGAATTTAAAGAGCCTCAATGTTTGTACTGTCATAAAGAACTAAATGATGCTGTGCAGATACTTTTCCTACATTGGCTTATTTGCTATGGCTTGGTCATTGCCCAGGTTTCTCTGCACACAATTTCTCTCTGATTTTTTTGAACTCTAAATCTTGCAAGCTTGCAGCCGGCAATTGGACCATTAGGGTGAGATAATTGATTCTGTATTAGTCATACAGAAGGATGAAATATCATCCAGGATGGACGGGATGACCCGGACCACAACGACCTCCCCGCTGCTTCAAATTTTGATCTCCACCGTCTGCCAGAGAGCCAATTTATCCGGGTTTCACTCTCTCTGTACGTAGACATTTGCTTTGAAAAAAAAAAGAAGAAATCTGCTGACAGTGAGTGAGTTAGAACTTGCTGCTGTCACAGCGAGCATCCTACAAAGAGCTGATCACGCAGCTCCGGCCTTTAGGGAGCAACCACGCCCCGCTTTGCTTGCTTTGGCAGACCTCCCCAACTCTTAGAAGTATCACTATGTCAGTCAGCTTCATGTATAGCTGCAGAAACTTGAAAGATTTGCACATGCTTAAGAGATCAGCTTTGTAATTATTAGCTGTTAATGTGTGTGCGTCCACAGTGTTCCTCATAATGCTTTACGGAGAGGTATGTTGCATAAGGAAGCGAGTAATGTCTTACAGCATGATGTTTCCACAGATATTTGATGAGTGTACATGCTGCAGGAAGAAACTCTCCAGTCATTTTTGTGATGTTGACAAGTGGTTTATTCAGCAGGAATGGTGAACAATTTGTCAGTATGTTTTTTTTTCTACAGAAGGCAACCGAGCACCATAAATAACAGCGCTGTAATCAAACAGTTTGTTGGACAGTGAGCTTCAGGAAATTACATTTCTTATTACAGAGCCGATGTTGTCTCAAAAACTCCCGCATTTTTTAAATTTTTTTGACTGTATTGATTATTTTGCATGAGTGACAAACAGAAATGTTTGACTAGTTCACGGTCACAGGATTGGAAGCTGGTATCATGTTGCTTTCTTCATCGCTGCTCCGCATACACCACTGAGGAACATTTGTTTGGCTCACTTTGCCAAGCTGTATTTATATCAGGTACCAGAGACAGTGTGTGAAGGGTGTACTGTAGCTGCAGTGCATTTCAGACAAGGATGGCATTTAAAAAATATTTAATGATCTGGATTAGTTCATGGCATAATAATAATAATAATAAGTGAGGCGTTGTTCTCGTTAAAAAGTCTTTGGTCTGTACTTTATTCTGAAAATCTGGGAGGAGCAGCCTTGTTCTCCTACCAGATACTTTTTCGTTTCAGCCGCCAGATTGACTGCATTTGTACAAAATAGACAAAGTGCATATTCAAATTTCCATTTTTAAAATCCTAATCTTTAAAAAAAAAATTAAAAAACACTCTTAAATTTGCCTGTGAAAGCACATTTTGATTCAAAGAGCTGCTAACAAATGTTTTGGTCAAAATAAATTAAACTCCTGGCTTGTTCTTCTTAAAGCGAGACTATGTAATTTTGCAGAATGTCACATTCTTGTTCATGCAAATCAGGAGTTAAAACGAAAAGCAACTAAATGCACCCCTGCTAATTAAAAAAAATAGTTTTATCACTACTGCCTGGTTTGGTCTGGTATGACAAAGCAAATTTAAGCAAACTTAATGCAAGGATTACAATTTAGGTTAAATAGCCCGATACTAAGTTGAACTGTTGCTAAGAGTCAGACGAGAATATTTGTCGGGTTTTCAAATCTTTATGTGAAATATCAAGATATAGCCAGACAGTAGTTAGCTTAGCCTAGCGTGATTTTTAACTTGGCTAAACAGCTAGCTTTGCTCTGGTTAACTGCAGTTCTAAAGGTAACACACCAACACCGACACGTCTTGTTTCATTTAACTTTTAAACCGAGTTGATAAAAACTAGCGTACGTTTTACATTCTTGTGACTTGACTCGATCTACACAGAGCCTGTGCCTTAGCATAAATAGGTGACACCACATCATCGAATTATTATAATTTTGTATTGGGAGCAAATAAATATTCAACAAAAGTTACTTTTACTGACATTACAGCTACTTTAATGTTAATGTAGAAGCCTAAAGGCTGTTGCAGCTAGCTAAAAACTACACGCTGCTAACAAGTGGACTAACTACAGCGGCTGCTGTCCGTAACAAAGCGTTATGTAAGACGTACAGTTCATCATTTATCGATGTACAGTACAGCATAGTTTCTATGGCGACTGCTCACATAGCTTTGATTCAACGTTCAAAGAAAAAACGGACGTAAACGGGTCTTGTGAAGTGGATTTTGTTAACTTTTGATAAAGGTTTTTTTGCTCTTTTTCTTTTTGTTCTAAGCTAAGCTAGCTAGCCCTTGGCTTCGGCCTAACATTTTACTAAAAGACATGGAAACGGTGTCGCTCTCTCATGTAACTCTCTGCAAGCAATTGAAGATTTTGTCTTTAAGCTAGCTGCTCTGTGATATTACGTGTTATAACACTGGCTCTTACATACTACATTTTAGTTTTAAAAGCATCATTATGTTGTTCTGACATGTCGCCACAGAGGGCGCTGTTGAGCAAAAGTTACAAAGTCTCGCTTTAAGTATTTTCTTTTACAATCATCACATTGGCTTCCAGTGAAGTGCATGAACACACTCATCAGACAAAAGCACACCATGAATTTTAACAATCTTAATACAATTGAAAGAATTACAGTTCACAGTACTTTTGTCAAGTTATTTGGCATAAGGGATGTATTTTGAGAAAATAATTCAAAAACAGTAGAAAAAATAGCATTTTGCCTTCTTGGGACCACAACATTGTATTTTCTTTTTTTCTTTTCTTTTTTTTTAATCTCCATGCATTCACAGATTTCACACAGTTACATTTACTCGCTTACACTACTACCTTATTGAAACAGCTTACAAATAAAAACACTATTAAAATGGTGGCCACAAGGCTGTGCAAAAGGGAAGACCTCCGAAGCCCTGCCATCTGTCTGTCTTAGCCATCTCTTGCAAGTAACAAACTACAAAATAGCACCATTATACAGTGGATAGGATTCTTAATACAGTTTTGTTATATGAAACCATCATGTACAATGAATGATAGTAATGCATAGGTTAACATAAATGGGAGTACTGTTTGATTATACACAGGCAGAGGAGGCAGAGCCGGAGTTGAGATGTCTTGGGCGGTTTTTTTTTCTGTGTGTGTGTGTGTGAGATAAAATTACTGTAAATCCACACAGAGGCTTGAACAAACAGGCATGACTGTCAGTCCCCATGCAAGGATTTCCTAGAACTGTTTTTTTATGAAACATGTGTTTGTGTTCGCCTGACCCTTGCTCATGGTTACACAACTCTCATTTACACTGTGGGTGCTTTGTAGATGTGTTTGTGTTCTGTTATGTGTGTGCCGTATCTCACATTTACAGGAAGACTCGCCGTTTTGGTGTGCAATATGGACCAAATCATGTTATCTTTTTGTGTTTTGTCTTTGTTGGATTTCGCAAACGGATGCAGATTTTCTTTGTATTCTTGCACTGATTGAAAGCAACGCAGAACAACCAACAACTAAAGCGAGAAGAATTCTTGTCCTCTGTAAACTAACAAAATGACACAGACCAAGATATTTCAATCAATACACTTTCTATTGGTAAAGCTTTTTGATAAAGCCTCTCTTAAACTAACATGTTGCTGAAAGGTTTTTCACTGAATTTGAAGCTTTGTTGACTTGCTGTGACTAAACTTTGATGACTCGCACTTGACCTTGAACACAGGCCTCCACTCAGACTCAAATGTTGATCACCGGCCACTGGATTGTTGACAAAAAAAAAAAATTGGATTTGGCCACAGTGGCGACATGTGAAACCGATGCAGACGACAAACATTTTGCCTGATTGTCGATATTTGACTTATTCCACTGACTTTTGCCAAATGCACTTTGATTTCACTGATTGACCCATTTCTGACAACCACACAAGCACCATGTTCTAACAAGCCAGAGAAATTTAAATTCAATTTAGCTTCTGGTTATTTAAGTTTTTTTTGGTTAATCACAACGGTGTTTTGGTAGTACTCACTGTTCCTTTTAAAATCCCCCCGCTAATGGCGCTTGTTCTGTTGTTACAGAAGTTTTTGGATTGTGTTTTTCAGGCTCTCAACACTTCCTGAAGCTTAGACAGGATTTGGATCGCACTCAAACCCTCAAGGTTTCCACTTGGATAGAAGAACCCTGCTTTTTTGTCAATGAAAAGTAGAGATTTGACTCGGGCTAATTGTGAAAATAACTAATACTGAACCACCTGGTCTTCGCCCTGTAAAGACAACCTGGTTTTACTTATGGAAAAAAAACAACCTCAGTAATGCATGGTGCATAAAAATAAAATGTTTTATCTTGATTAAAAAGATTTAGCTCTGCAAAGTTTGAAGGACAGAACTAACCACAAATTCTCAAGCCTGCTGCTCTCTGATTGGCTGAAGCCCACATCCGTTTACACCTTTTCCTGGAGCCAGAGGACGCTGCAGCTCACACGTGGAGGTAAAATAAGCTCTTGTTCGTGTCTCAGCAGCTAAACTAGTTTGTTACATTGCATTAACAAAGAATTCCTCCCTATATGGAATGGTGCAGTGTATTAAAATAATCACAAGAACCATCATCGAAAACCACAAACACCTCTTAGCTCTCAATTACTTCTAAGAGTGTTCGGACCATTGTTGGCCTCCTTGTTTTTGTTTTACAGTGAACCATTCCACAGGGGTACCAGGTAAGGCCACTCCCTTCTCTCTTCCCAAGTCGCTGGGCATTTGTCCATTCGTTCCTTCCCTACATTCGGTAATTTCTGCCCCCTGTGCTGCCTCGACTTGAGTTTTTCGGATGCACTTCCTGCAACGAAAAGAGAGAAACACAGTTTAGAAATAATTCTGAGATGCAGGATCGACTTAAACAAGTCTCTCTTTCTGCAAGCCGAGACAGTCGCAGCAGATGAGTCTGGTTCTGCTCGAGGTCTCTGACTCTTTTCTTTGCCACTGTTAATTGCCAAATGTTGTCAAGTTTTGCCCGAGGCTGATTAATGTTGGGTCTTGTAAGTAATATAAGAACTATTTGGATTAGTGTAACATCAAAAGACATTTAAGGAGAACAGAAATGTCTTCCAAGGACTGTAAATACTATGCACCACAAAACAGTACCAAAATAGTAGCTTGAACATGCCATGATTACCATCAAGCTAATTTAATATAAAAGCGATTGTTGATTTAACATATTGAAAATATTGCTCAGGTAGACAGGAGTAGTAGGTGTTAAAATAACTTGATTCAAAAGTAAAGGAGAGTGGAAAACACTTAGGTTAGTATGCTAGGTTAAAGGTTGTTAGCTTGCTAGCTTCCAATCTTCAAGTGACAAACGTAACAGCATGGGTTATGACGGAAAGTTACAAAGGAAAGGCATTTCCTGAATGAACTATGGTGAATAAATCGCAGTAAATCTAGTCTTAAAAAGGGAAGACAAGTTTTGTATTAAAGTATTTAGGCTACGCTACAGAGCTAAGCTAGGTTATTAACTTGATTCAAAAGTAAAGGAGAGTGGAAAACACTTAGGTTAGTATGCTAGGTTAAAGGTTGTTAGCTTGCTAGCTTTTATCTTCAAAATAAATCTAGTCTTAAAAAGGGAACACAAGTTTTGTATTTAGGCTACGCTACAGAGCTAACCTAGGTTATGCTACGGACATGCTAACTGCTTATTTCCAATCAACTAGCAGGTTGCTCATTGGATTTGAGTTGTCGAGAGTGTCATGGCTGCGTATTAGTCTTTTTAAGAATGGAGCTTTATGCACAACAGCTGCAAAAGGATTTTGATTTGTATTTAATAACTCAGAGCTTGAGAAGAATTCACATTTTTGTTTGACTTTAGCAGAACAAAAAGAAGAAAACCTCATGTAGCTCTACAATTCTACGATTATATAATACAGCATAATTCATAAATGAATGATCAGATGAGTGATATGTAAGCCACTGCACACGTTGAGGCAGTGCTTCATCTCCGGCACCTTGCATGTGCCCATCTGTAACGGTGAGACGGCAGAATTTCAGCACATAATGTACAGTAGCAGAGTGGAGATCCCGCCTGGGGAGCGGGAGTGCCACTGGGTCTACCACAAAAACCACTTAGTTCTGTCTCTTGCTAATGGTTTTCTTTTTTGAGAGAAGGGTAAAAAGAACACAGTCCAATCTTAAAAGGATCACACCATCTAGCCGGCTAGCAACAAAGGGATGAATCACCGTCCACATTTAGACCTCACACTCTCTTTCTTTGGACTTAATGTTAAATGAATGTCCTTTGTTTAAAAATAGACGTTCTACTTTCAAACTCTTGAGAATGTCAGCGTTGAGATTTACAGAGCATGATTACATGCTTAAAGGGGTCATATTATGCTTTTTCTGGTTTTATATGCCCTTTAGTGTGTTTTCCAAGTGTCCTGTGCATGTTTAGGCACATCTATGTAAATAAAGTCCGTGGAAACGCAGCTTCTCCTACGTCCTCCTGTTAGCTGTAGCATTAGCCGCATGTAACGCTCGGTTCTAGCCCCCCTCGATAAAGATTTGTCAATGCGGCGTCATTGTCAGTGTGAGATCACTGATCTAAGCCCATTGGCTCGTTGTGGCAAGCCCTGAAGCTCATGTTGAAATTTCCGAGACGCGTGCTGAGCAACTGACCAATAACAACAGAGCGGATCGGCAGACCAATCAGAGCAGACTTGGCCCACGTGAGGTCTAACAGTGTGGGCTCAACAGAGTGTAGCTGACGGACTCAGAGCGTAGAGGGAGCAAGGAGGAGCAGTACATGAAAACAGACACTTCTTTCAGACTTTATCTATTGTGAACGTACAAAAGTAGATACATAGATTAAATATACAAACCCCAAAAAGGGCAGAATATGGGCTCTTTAAGATAACAAAATGAGATGAAACATATATACTTGCATGCATACCTTAAACGATGAATGACTATGTCCAGCTGCAGGTCTCTGTGGAAGGAAAATAAAGGCTTTTAAGTCTGATGTATTAGTGAGTCTTGCTCAAGTTAGCAGCTAGCATTTTTAAACCAACTAAAGCCTGATTGTAATGATACAACATTTTTTAAATGCGCTTTAGAAACCGCAGCATTAGCCACTTAGCTTAGCTTAGCATAAACTGAAACTGTGCGGGCATGCCGTGACAGAAGTGTAAATCCTGTTCTCTTTTGTTCTGCCACCATTTTTTTTCATTTTTACAGTGTATCTGTTTTGTGCTCACCTTTTTGTTTTTTGTCTTGTCTGCTTGCTGTGCTGTCCTACGCTCTGTGCCTCTGTCCACTTTGTGCCCGGCGGTACTAACCTTAGGTGCTCTTGGCATATCTGTGTGGCGCTGTGCGCGCACAGAACGAGCAGCCTTGCTAGTCTTGACGGGTGCACAGTACATCTCCAGGCGTCGCAGCTCGCAGCTTTGGAAGCAGCACTCGTCCACGATGCCACGTGACCGCCGTGCATTTGGCCCGTAGCCTGTCGGTTTACCTGTCGAGAGGAAGCGCATGAGGAGTTAAGTAACTGAGGGGACAGAAGATGTTTTTGCAATAAAAAAAAGAGGGTCATGGCTGCTGATTTAACAAATTGGACTACCTACTATCAGACTGTTCGCTAACGTTAGACTAGCTAATGCTAAGCTTCTGATATAGGTTTGCTCTACAATTTAGGTTTTATGTGCAGTGTGGGAAACCTGACAGATGTGGCAACTGTCAATCAAACTCCAATGATTCAATGATTTAGACTCCGCCATACTATATTTATTTTTTCAGAGTAAATGTATATAATTTTGGCTTGCTTCCAGACAATATGTTCAGAATGAAAATATTAAAAATGGCCACGTCATGGGACCGATGACCTCCGGTATATAAACAGTCTTGATGACATAGATTTCCTCTGTGTAAAATTTACAGTGTATCACATTGCCCACCGTGGACCTTTCTTTTGGCAAGCTGCTTCCCAGCATAACGAAGGTTCTGCAGGCTCCCAAACATTGAGAATATCACGGTCAGCCATTTTGGCTCAGGTGTCTTTTACATAGAGGCCAGTCCAGCGATGCCAAACCACAAGACTTCTTCTGGGCCAGATCAACCTGCGGGGAACAGCCAGGCAGGTTTTTGAGGCAGTTCCCCTTACCTCTCTGTCCAACTGCTCATTCACATTTTCATTTGGCAGAAGCCTGATTACCCTGGAGTTTCTCTTGTAGCACATTTGTGCTGAATCATTGGCGTTATGCACCTTTAAGGCCAGAAAACAAAACCTGTTTAAACGTCCAGCCGAGTGGAGTTTTGGTCTGTATTATATCACTGAAATAAAATAGGTAAATCATTATTTAAAGGAGTGATGCTCAACTTATGGACTCAGTAAACATATCACATTAGCATGACGTCAATACCCACTTCCTCTTTCAACTCCGTTACCCCCCCAGAACCCACCCCTCTTTTGGTGGCCTTTACAAAATCTCTCACTCTCCATTTACAATTCCCTGCTCACCTTGTGCAATATAGCCCTGATGGGGCTTTTCCCTGTTACCAAATAAAATAATAATAATTTAATATGGCATTTACAAGGAGGAAATGCCTTTCCCTCTCAGAGTTAATAGCTCTTGGCTCAGGAGCTTGCCAGTGCTGACAAAGTGCATTAACTTCTGCTCTCCGTCTGCCTTGTCCTGACAAATGTTGAGGACAGAGAGCAGCGTTCATTCAGAAACAGAAGCATCTTTCCCTCCGGACCCCCGCCAGACACAGAATCGAAGACAATGGAGGTGCGAATGAGAGGGTGCAAGGGGGGGAGGCTTTCATGTTGCACATCAGGTAGAATGATGCTAAAAATACATCGTGTGCGCCTGCATTATTTACCGAACACAAACTCAAACTGCCTAAATGGGTTTGCTAAATTAAATATGTCAGTGACAAAATCAACTTACTTTAGCTTTTTGTCATAGCATTTCTATATCCAGCGTTGGCTGCTAAATCAACACCTGATGTGAAGACATTTGACAAAGGAGAAACACAGCATTGAGCCCATGTTCAGCGATTATATAACGGTCACTGAAAGCCAAAAGAAGGGCCGGGCCTCGTTGCCTGGCCTGTTTTTCAATCCCTCCCAATAAAGCTTTACAAATTAACATCCGCTATTGTTCTGAAAATAGCCCGCAACCCTGCTGCACAAACAGCTGGAAGGGAGAGAAAAATCAGCTGGCACCGGTTGTAACATGTAGGATAATCAGCTTGGGCAGGTTGGGGGGGAAAACACGCATATAATAATCAGGTCTAAAAGCTTTGGGAGGTTTTAAACGCTTCAGTTCCATGGATAACTGCTGTAATCCCTCATAAACAAGGAGTTGGTTTCTGTGACTGTTGTTTAACAAATATGGGTAAACAAGCGTTTCTGCCAGTGCTTCACGCCTCCCGGCCCCTACAGCTGTTTGAAACGGACTCAGGATGGGAGGATGCGTGCCGATGAAAGTCAGATTAGAAAGCATGTGTCAGCGTTTCAGCCATCATGACGAGGCAGAGTGCAGGTTTGTATCTCTTACATAATTCAAATGGAGTACAATTGCTGCATATTTTAAGTTATATGTAAGGACTCAAAATGGGTATGGGACCCAACCAGAGAAGGTACATTCAAAGGTTTTACATTTTGTTTACGGTTTACACTTATAGTTTCTGTTACAAGTTTAATCTTGATAAGATGTTATAGTCACAAAAAAGCCAGAAAGCCTGCCATAATACGAGATTAAAAGTATCAGGAATCAGTAGGGAGTGTGGGGGCGGTTTGCTTATGATGTTATGTAGAGTGTAAGATAGTTAGCAGGAATGGTGGTTTGTGTGAAAGCTTCTCAGACACAAACATTGTACAGTACTTATTCATACTAATACATCTGATTTTACAACATTAAAAACGATTCTATCCTTTGCCTCAAAGGTTAAAGGCTTTAAATGTAATTTTTCACACTTAAATATAATAGAAATCAAGTATATCCTCTGAAAATAACTCTGTGAGTCATGACTGTCTACAATGGGTGTAACACCCGAGTCCCACTGTCTGTGATGCTTTCAGAGTCCTATCTTCACTTTGTTTACATCGCCAGCACGGCCGGCTGACTCCTCCCCTCGTGTATAAAAGTTGTTTAATTGAGGGACTAGAGAAAAGAAGAATAACATACTGTACTCACTGCTTAACTGTGTTTCTAGATCACGCTCATTTCAGGTAAATTTACATGCAGTGTGAAGATACGAGCATAATAAAGATCACTAGCATTAGCATGCTAACACAACAATGCATCGCGAGTTGTTTTGGTTTCATGCTGGTGCTCAAGGGCGACATCTGCTGGATCAAAAAATCGCATATAAAGCCTTTAAAGATAGTCTCAACTGATTCACATTCAGACTAAATCAACCGAGTATGTGCATTGGTATGTATTTGTCTGACCAATGCTTCACCTTGCCAGATGATGTCATAATATATTTTGGTAAAGTTGAGCCAAGAAAAATCTTGATGAGGATGAGCCCTTTTATTTTTGTTGCAGAGATCTAACGAAGTTGAACTTTGTTACGAAAGAGGAGGCTTCTGAACTTGTTTGAAAAGTTTTTATTGATTTTTTTGGGCCTTTGGAAATAAAATGTAACTTTGTCATGAATCCAGTCAAACTAAAGGTCACGCCCTCTAGGAGTGATGCGCCAAAAACTTTCCAAAATCTGTTCAAGTCCTTGGTAAAATGAGTAATGTGGACCATTCATGTAAATCATTAACATCAATGCTTATTCGCAGGAAATCCTTTTCAACAGAAAACTGTGCCACAGAATCAAATGTCTCGGTGATCTGTTTCTTTTGATGCCATTGAATGGTATTTGACAGCGTCAGCACACATAATGTTCATTCCTCCAAGGATCGGCACGGGAGAGAGATGGCTGGACTCCCTCATTCCAAAGTGGTACAGAAAGCATCTGAGTTTTACAGCTTGGTCATGGTCAATAAAAAACAGTGGATTCTTGGAGCCTGTGCGCCGCTCTTCCTGCAAAGTGTCAGGCAGTTTACTGCTGAGCAGGGACCGCGAGAGCTGCTAAAGCACTGGAAACTATCTCTTTATCACTGGTACCACATAGAGTTTATGGCATGTGTGAGGTGTTCCTCACATAGCTGAGCCTTGACATTGGATCCAAATTGGCTTCCACCAGAATTATGTGTAATAAAAAGGAATACTTGGTGGGCGCTGGGGACCTAGCGGTTAGTAAGCGTGCCCAATGTACAGAGGCTACAGCCCTCAATGCAGACAGCCTGGGTTCAAATTCCACCTGTGGCTCCTTTGCGGCATGTCATCCCCCACCTTCTCTTTCTGCCTGATTTTCGTCTCTATCCACTGTCCTGTCTATCTAATAAAGGCATAAAAAGCCCCCCCACAAAAAAAGGATTTCTTGATGGTGAATTTGAATCTTCGAGATTGGGAAAACTTTCACAAGTTTACTTCTGCTGTCAGTTCCTGCACACAAGAAAAGTTTCATTTTGACTAAGAAGAAGCAAAAAAATAATAATCTTGCACACTGTCGGTCAAATGTTTGCGTCTTATTACAGCACCTGTAATGACGTGGGAAGGGAGGTCAGACTTGAGCCTGGACCGCCCACTTGGAGGACTTAAGCCGTAACAACTAGGCCATCAGCGCCCCAGGCACAGGGAACTTTTAAACTCCTTTCCTATGTCAAGAAAATATGGAGTCCAACTCAGGTCTCAATTCCCTTTCTGCCTTTAGAAGGGCACTCAGTCTTGTTCGCACTTTTAACCATGGTGCAAGTCACCTTTTTAAGGTTTATGTACCACAGAGAAGGAATGCACTTGGAAGGAAGTCTGGCACTGGGTTTAACTGGGATTTCCCAAAGAAGGGAAGGAGGGGGTTATTCTACGCCAAGTTGCCCGAAAGATGTTACACCCAACTTCTGGTTTAGCTATGCCAAAGTGAATCCGACAAATATAATCACATTTTCAGCTCTTCAAGACTTCTCAAATTCTTAAAGTGAAAGGATAATTTCTCCCAGGTCTTGACATTCCAAATGTATCCCCCATTTTATACAGTAGCAAGAAGAACACAGCAGTGTCTATTACATAAGAACAGGTTTTAGTAACTTCTAACTAACCCAGACCAGGGACACCTGGACACGGGTGTTTAAGAGATGAAAATGGCTGTTCAGCGGTTGGTAAACCATTGAGACCCTAACCCTTACCCTTTTGAGAATCAACCAGCAAAGCACTTTAGCGGTCCATTGGGATTTAACTATGGGCAGGACACTTCTACCATCAGGGATGTCTACTTTGGTGATGAGTGGATGTATGCAATCAGTTGGGGAATTAATTATTTGGTCCTTTTGCAACTGGAGAGTGAGCCGAAAAACCAATTCATGTGACCACCGCAGTGAATGGAGAAGACACAAGAAAGGTCAGGGTATCATCTATGATGCGGTGATCTCTACACTAATGCACTTTTCCTTTTTAGCAACTCCATCCATTCTGTGGTTGGATTAAACTCTTGAAGGGTTTCAAAGGTACAAGTACAAGAGTGTCCTCAAATCTGACTCAACCTCACCTAATGTAAAGAACTAAATGTGGCCCGGAAATCTGGCCTTTCCTTTTCATGAGATGCCTCTTTGTTCAGCAGAGCAGTCATTTACAGAAGGGTCAGAGATTTTTTGAGTCTGGGGGTCTTATTTTGAAAATGACACCTTTTCTCAGTGATGGAGAACACACAGGAGGTCTTTCTTCAGATCCTCCGCTGAGTGTGTCCAGTGTAAAAACCAAGCGAGGGGAGGGGCGGAGGGGGTGTCCTGATCATCCTGTAATCCACATAATCCCCTGCTGCTGATGGACGAGGCCTAGCTATGTGTGTTTGAGTGTATGCATGCATGCAACATGCTGTTCGCACATTCTACCTCTCTCTCCTGCAGCTCCAGTTGCTTTTTATAGAACTGACTCTGAAGAAGAAGAAAGCTCATCAATTGCTTCTCTACTTTCTACCACCAGATCATATGCTATTGGACCAAGACAAGACTTCTCAATATCTCAGCACTTTTCATATTTGCATGCCCTTGTTTTATTAGAACGTGGTGTACCAGCAATGAGCTCTGAGTGAAAAACGCTGGACTATTCAGTTTCATATTATTTCAGGAGAGATAGTGCATCAGTCCTTTTTTTTTTTGCAGAAATCAGCAGTAAGATCGTTTACCTCACACTCAATCTAGAATAAGTGTGAATATTTTAGCAAGACGCAATAAAATATGAAGAGGTTTTAGAACTGTGAGAGCAACTTAGCGCTATATACTTGAGCCAAAAAAACTCCCATAACAGATCTGATTCATGGAATGATGAACATCACAGTGAAATCGTCCCACACTGCCCCGGCCGACTGAAGCATTACAAAGACAACTGAGGATTTCTAGGTCAGGCTAATAATTGGAAAAACTGACTATGGTTGTGGATTTTTCTTATGTTTCATAGCCCACAGTTTGTTTCATTACCTTACAAAAAAAAAATGTTCCACCAACTAGTATTTAGCATTTCTGTCGGGGTGGGGAATCTGAGGTCTTAAAATGCAAGTGTGCTACTTTACTGGTGCCATGTGTAAGGTGGATTGGCAAAATCCCTATGAGCACAGAAAGCCCACTGTAGTTGCAACACTGCCTCTGGACACATTATCAGTCTGAGGGCTGCCAAGTTCAACACGGACAGACTGGAGGGGAAGAGTTCAGGGAGAGGAGCACGCCTCCTTTGGCCCAAGATGTTATGCTTCACAGTCCCTGAGACGACAGAACCCCCCCAAATGGATTCTCCAGATATTTTTCACGCAAACAGCCACTGGAACATGTGGGCGACCGACGGAGAGGAAACGGAATGACAGCGAGAATATGAGAGAGCGAGAGAAACAGAGGAAGACAGGGAGCCGCATATTTTTCCAAAAGGCACAGCACCCCCGCTGCTAAAACCTCACCGTCTTCTCGGTAAAAAGGATGGAGTGTTTGGTGAAATACAGCTCATTTTCAACACAGAAAAAAATGTGGCATTGATAGATGGACGCTGTGCAGTTCTGTGACTGTACAGTGTAAGGTAATGCGGGGAAGAAAAACATGTTCCTTGTACCTCAAAAAAAGGGTCTGTTCCTGCTTAAAACTTTGTATTCTGCACGAGGATTTCATGACTTACATTGGCCTCCGTTCAACACTTTCTCATGAGATGAATATGGACAGTAGTGCTTTACTTCTATGGCCTGTGAGAAACATTCACAACGCTGTAGTACAACTCTCTCAGTAGCCAACACTTTGTCACATTCTCACATCATCCAGTGTCTGGACACCGTCATACCCTGTCAGAATCTTGAACATTTCATCGACTTCGAGCCAGAAAAGCTGACACTTCTTGGGATTTTACAAAACCCCCAGACTGAGATGTAAATCTCAGGGAAGGGGCTTGCAGTTAGCTTAATTTCAGAAGAATAAGAAATTGCAAAACAAAAATAAAGATCAAATGCAAAAGTCCAACTTCATTCTTTATGATGATATGCGTTGATCTTCTCCTGCCTCTCAGTCTCACTGTTAAGAAAACAACCATTTATATAAAGAGAAGTGCTGCCGCAAAGGGAATTCAAAGACCAAAATGTCTTAACTGGAAGAAAACTGGCAATCGAGCCAGTCTGTCACGACCACTTCACAGCGTGTGGGTGTTGCCAGCAGCATCTGGACGAACAAGACTCACAGCTTTGCAGCAGCTTGGTGGCTCTCCAGCGGCTCCCCATGGCAAACGACGCACAAAAGGACCCAATGCAGAAAATGATGGTCGACTTGGTCATGGAAAAGCTGCATGCTTTGGCTGGAGGGAATGTGCTGGTGGTTTGGGTTGGGAGCTGCAGGCAAGGTGCATGGTGACATGACTGCCAGGCAGAGATTTCGGTTTCGGGATGACTCAGCGAAAAAGAAAAAAAAAGAACTGGGCTCACGTTCAGTGACATAGTGGATTGTTCTGTGCGGCTGTTTTAGAAGTATTTCTACAATGTTCTTGTATGGCAACGATAACAACATGGGAGTATGGTTAAGGCTTGGACAACTGGAACTGATGAAAAGATGACTTGTTAGAGGTTGAGTCGATTAGTTTGACTGAACATACCCATTCACAGTTCTCTCTAAATCATGCTTTCTTTCCATCTAGCTGCATATAAGACACACCACATGTGCCAAAAATAATCCAATATGAAGATGCTTACTTGTCTATAAGAGACTTCATGGACAGGATGGCAGAACACAGGTAGTGGACCAACAAGTCTGTCTGTCCTGCCAAGTATCCAAATTACTGCACATCCAATACAGGAAATGGTTGAACCCCTTATCTTCTGACTGTCACCACATTTTAGATAGCCTATCTAGGATAGGATAGGATAATACTTTATTGAACCCCAGAGGGGAAATTCGGGCGTTGCAGCAGCACAGACAAGTCAGGTCAAAATACAAAATACACATTAAACAGAATAGATTAGATAAGAACCAGGTTCAGACGAAGATAATTGATTACTGGAAAAAGCATGCACCTGCAAATGCATAGTTAATGCTGATAATTTCCAATAGAATTCGTGTATTTTCTTTTTGAATTTGGCAGCCGACAAGAATCTCCCATGTGGAAAAATCTTAATCCATTTTGGGACCAAACCAAAACCATTAATACTGGATGCTTCTTTCTGCACAGAAGTGAGAGGGCACAGCCATGACTTTAGAAGTGATATGAAGGTTCTCCAGGACAATCAGAGCAAATTGGTTTAATCGATGGATGTCGGCCAAAGAAATATGAATAATGAGGTTATGAATAACACCGCTCTGCAGTGTTTGAGCCAGCTTTTATTGCACATGCACAAGTCACACCGTACGTCTCTCTGACAGAAAGATCAGGATACATGTTCTGAGGTGGAACATTGCACCTAACCTCGGTAGCTCCATATATCCTGCGCTGCTCTGGGCTGGGTTATACCCTTAATGGAAAACTCTGAGATTTAAATCCTTGATCGTCGGTGGAGGGTTTTCTTTGGGTCGCTTTCCATTCTCTGATGGAAAGAAAGGAAAAAACTTCACTGCAACATTTAGTTTCTACCCCTCCTTAAGTTTCCACTGAAAGTAGCCCACGGGCACAACTCTGCCACCAACTGTACAGTTACTTATCATATTCCATATTTCCTTTAAGCTTGCTTGCTCAAAATCTTGTCACCTGTCCATCACTGAGCATTAAAAACAAGGCATGAATGTACACATGAAGATGTAACAGTGTAAGAAGAATGAATGAAGGAAAAAAAAAAGGGAACATTAATGCAGGGAACATCAAGACAAGATGTCAAACCGGCTGCTTTTTTATTTATGAGCTCGCTGGAGGTGGAGAGCTCAGGGACGGATACAGCCAACCTTTATGAATAAATAAAAAGGTGCACTTACTGAAATAAAAGCCTCTCTCTCCACACACAAACTGCAGCGTGTCGACCAGCTCCGCCCCGCACAGGGTCTCTGGGCCCGCCCCTGTTGCCGTCGGAGTCAGGGTGAGGACGCACAGCAGTAGTGAGAGGGTGTGGCTACAGGAGATACAGCACATCGCACTCTGCAGCACAAGGAGAGAGACAGCATTAACATTTGCACTGCTGTTAACGACAGAGCATCAGCAGACAAGAGAGGTTTTCATTTCAACAAAAATGACTTTTAAAGTCTCTCCTGGCAATTTTGCACATCTGCTGTGACATTTGGTGGCTCTTTGCCTCGCTCAAGGCACATCACTGGTGGCAACACCAAACATTTTCCCACATAAAACCAGTGAGCTGAAAGCTTGTTTCCCCTTACTTCCAGGTTTCCCTCTGCCAAAGGAGGGAGATATACAATGAATAAAAGTGGCCACAGATGGTAACTTTACAGGGTTTTAGAGATTGGAAGGAAAATGTATTAAATCCAAACTTGCACTCGGTGCCAGAGCCAAACAGTCAAACAGGAGCCTGACTCATGAGCTCTGATGCTTCGGAGCGCCTGTGCGCAAGCGAGCCGAGCGCGTCCAAATTAAAACACACATTTCTCTTTCTCACATCGCTACTCAGCCTCTGCAAGATATCTTCAAAAGTTAACAATGATACAAATGATTCAATGCATGTGAAAAAACCCCCACTTATGAGCACTTGTGAATGCGTATTCGGCGCCAAATAAAGAGCTTTTAGTGCGTTTTTACGCATAAACACAAAGTGGCTCAAAATTCCAAAAGGAGAATAAGAGATGCAAAAAGCTGCAGGGATCTTTCCGAGCCACACTGTGAGATGGAAAACTGCTCCGCCGCCAAACCCAAAGCGAGGAAGCTGAGGGGGGGGGGGGGGGGGCAAAAATACATAATAAAAGGAAGAAAACACAGACCCAATATCTATCCATCTATATCTACTTACAACCCTGACCTGACTGTCCCGATGCACGGCAGTCGTTCATGTTAAAGCTCTCCCCTCTCTCTTCTCCCCCGCACGTTAGATATTTAGCACTTAATAAATGCACACTCAGCAGTAATTACTTTGAAAGTTGCACAGCTGCATTAAGACTTTCTGGTGGAAAAGAGCGCAGGGCGCACAGAAGCTCTGAGGATGAAACATCCATTCATCCGAGCAGTGAAACTCATGCACGTCATGTCAAGACTCCTGATGGAAAAAAGTCAAATTAAAGCAGAATGGGGGCAACATATTGTAAAATGTTATAATAAATATCAAGACATGCAGCAGAGTTATTCAACAACTGAATAACGAATTTTTTTAAAAAATCTGACTAAATCCACATTTGTCATGCATGTAAATATAAAAGCAGTAAAATCCAAATAAGCGATGAGTAGTGCTTTCGATTGTTTCAAATCAAACCAGGATGCTCAGTGCAATAAGTGTGCAAGGTGATAATGTAAAGTGTCAAAGGAAATCAGGTAAGTTACCTTGAAGACATCACATAAATGCCACTGAAAAGAAAGAGCGCTAGACATCCCCACGGGTCTCCGCAAGACAAAGCCCGGCGAAAATGAACTTGTTTGAAGTCATTAAAAACGGGGAGAAAGAGGATGAGATGCGGGCAATGTCACATCTCAATATTCCGACTTTGTTCCATTGCGCAGGCTCGTTTTGGAGAAGTGAGATTTAGCGAACAGGAGACGGATTTAGAGAGAAAATCCCTCACATTTATCTACATTACACAGACATTTTCAACAGGAAACAGCTGGGGCAGCATTTGCCTCCTACTCGTCCTAAGTTATTCATTAAGGATTTTGGGCACATATTCAAATAACGTCATTTCTCCTTTTTTTTTTTTTTTTTTTTTTTTTCGCAGAACGGGATTGAATTTTGATCTCTGTAAGACTTGGTTAGTAGTTCAGATCAACAGAGAAAAAGCGCTGCTGCCCCACCAGCAGCAGCCCACACTCACACAACACGATATTTTTTATGTGCTGAAAGCTGAACAAGGAGAAGTTAAAGAAGAGAATGAAGGTCAGAATTTAACTGCTGGTTGCTGTGCGTAATTTGGCACCGCGGAACAGAATCCAAAGTCTGAGTTAACAAACGTTTTTTTCCACTTAATCTACAGTGTGCTACCACGATATAATCCAAATTAAAATGACACAACTAAAAGAGATACATTCTTGTAAATGTGAGGTTTATAATGCAGGGTAAAGATTAACTAGAGATTAAAAAAAAACCTCACATGAAGTCGGTTTCATTCCAAATTCCATTTTTTAGCAGAATTCTTTGCACTTTGTTGCTGCAATTTACGCCAGAAAGAAGTCATTTCTTCCGTTTTCTGTGAGGAACTTGCATCAACACGTGCAGGTTTGTCTGCAAATGGCATCTAGTGATATTTAATTCTTCCATAAACTGAGTGACTGACGTGGAAAAGAAGTGTGGGAAAAAAAACACGAAACTCTTTAGACGAGAAAGACATTTTTTTTTCTTTTTTTTTTGAAAGCAAACTGCACCGCATGCTTTCCTACTGGTCTGGCAAACACTTGATGGCACCCAGTAACGGCCCCAGTGCTCCCACTGTGGGTCAGGGAGGAAGAGCCCAGCAGTGACAGACCGCAGCTTCACACGAGCCGATGGCTTAAAGAGACTTGTTTTTTAGCACTGATCCAACCACTAAACATGAGATCAGTGCTGCGACCCAATCATAAAACGGGACACCAGCGCGCATCCTAGCTTGCTCGGCCGTTGTGTGTCAGTGCATGCATCACAAGAGCCTAGTGGTCGGATCCAAAGGGGACCGGAGCCAACGACACGCAACAGTTAGGGTCGTTGGGGGTAAAAGTGGGTCAAAACTGCAGGCACGATCAAATGTCCCCACATGACACGGACAGCTCTGCATCGCAACTCATGGAGCTGAAGCCAAAGAAGCATCTCTCATCCAAACTGGACCTAAATGAGTGGTTTCCAACATGAGGTCCGGGGCACTTGAAGGGGACGCTTAGATACATGTGGGTGGTCACAAGTTGTAAAGAGGGAAAAAGCTTGCTTCTCTCGAAATGAAGAAATTGGTTTCTTACTTTGGTTAAACTTTTGCTTTTTAGGTGAGAGTAGAATCAACATTTTAACATTCTTGAGAAATGATCTAATGAGGGATTCATTGACTATCATCTGAAAGACCTGCACCTTCAGCTTTCAAAAGTAGGCTTTGCTTTGTTATAAAGAGTAAAAAGTCCAAATATAATGGGAAACATTGTTGATTGATCTTTACACAGCTTTTGGCTTTATAGTATTGGTGATAAACTAATTGTGTATTCTTGAAGGATTCTGGTAGTAATTTCAGTTCTGCGGTAGTAATGTTTGGCTAAACATACGTAGTGGTGTGCATGATGAGCTGGACGTGCTCAGATGTTGCCCGGGTGACAGGGGCGGATCCAGGGGGGGTGACCGGGGCCCCACTTCAATTCTGATTAGGCCACCTTAAAATCCCAAATCAACTACTTTGGGCTGGGTTGCAACAAGCTTTCTTTGCATATGAATGTGACAAATTTCTAACATTAAAAATTTAGATTTTACTGTAATTAATCTGGGATTAATTACAACTATTGTTTTATTCATTCAACTAAATTGACAACTCTAGTCAATAGACGTAAAACCAGTGGATATTAGATTTCCAATATGAACCAGAAAGGCAATAAACGATGGGTTTAAAGATGGCTGATTGTTTATCTTTTTGGCATTTTATAGACTAATCTATAATAATGCAGAAAAAAAACATGTTTAAAGGCTTTAAATGCGATATTTCGATCCAGCAGATGTCGCCCTTGAGCACCAGCATGAAACCAAAACAACTCGCGCTGCATTTTTTGTGTTAGCATGCTAATGCTAGCGATCTTTATCATGCTGGTATCTTCACACTGCATGTAAATTTACCTGAAATGAGCGTGATCTAGAAACACAGTTAAGCAGTGAGTACAGTATGTTATTCTTCTTTTCTCTAGTCCCTCAATTAAACAACTTTTATACACGAGGGGAGGAGTCAGCCGGCCGTCCTGGCGATGTAAACAAAGTGAAGATAGGACTCTGAAAACATCACAGACAGTGGGACTCGGGTGTTACACCCATTGTAGACAGTCATGACTCACAGAGTTATTTTCAGAGGAAATACTTGATTTATATTACATTAAATACATATAAAGACTTTAACCAACAATGAAATAAAGTATGCTATAATACCTTGTTATGTTAGTTTACAATCACCATCTCTAGATAATGCACATGTAGACAAGTGGTGCATCAAATAACAAATTTGAAATCTGGCCTCCTTGTCAAGTGTGCGCCAGAAGGTCCATGACCTCAATCTGTGACCCGTCTAATCTTCCTCTCAGACTTTATGCTTGGAGACATGATGCCCACCACGCAGCGATGTCTCTGTTTGCCTCCCCTGGTGGATTGCGTCACCGCTCGAAGCTGCTGATACAACGTGGAATATGATGATGATGCTCCTCTGATTAGAAGACAAAGCTGCTTTCAGACCACTGGGTGACCTTGTTAGCATCAGATCAGGGACGTGACCGGCCACTGATGCCCATAAGCCTCCTCGGGTCGGTCAGATCTTTAGACGTGAAATTATCTCATCTTTCATGGCCTCTTGACGCAGAAAAGAAATCTCTGAAATAAATGCTTCATCACAGACTTTGTTATCTCTGAGGCCTGTGGTCTGTCCGCAGTGATGAGGGGATTGTGCTGTACATCTGCTGATGCAGTATTAGGACGAAGAAGAAGAAGGCTGAGGTGGGGGTTGGGGGGGGGCTGACCTTCCCTTGTTCTCCGTCTCTAATGCCCAGTGCTCTAAACTGTCTTGGTGCCAGGTTTCCCTCGCCTCCCTCCCTCTGACTCTCTTTTCTCTTCGGTTGCAGGACTTTTGAACCCCCCCCCCCCCTGCAGCTTGTCTAAGGAGACATCCGTCCCAGTGAACTCATTGACCAAGGAAAGGCTTGTTTTCACTCCCTTCCAGTGTAGGAAGGAGAACGTGGACACTGCAAAAAATGTCCACTTTGTTTTTAAAAATGAGGCCAGCAGGATAGTTTCACTAATTTGCAACCACTCCCATTTTTCTAGTCATTGTTTTTAAAGTGCCTTCTTATTGGTAATTTATGAGTGCGTTCAAGTGACAACCAGAAGTGCCATATTTGGACGAAAAGTGTTGATATGCATCTCAAATTTCGGAGCCAACCAGGGATTGTCTGCTAGTGATGAAGCCTCGGGGAGCAATGCACAAGTTTTCTGGATCTCTTATCATCTCAAAGACTTCTGGTTCAGGTGGTTTCTTTCTGTGCACTGCCTTTGTGTCTTGAAGCCCAACTGGAAACTTGAGCTTGATCAGAGGTGACACTTCAGCTACCAAAATGCATCCTGTCTGTGCTTACAGATTCTGCATTTTTATGCAGAATGAAGATTAATGTGGAGCTTAATGTCTCGATTTTTTGTTGACGACCTCTTGTGTTAGCATCCTGTAAACCCTAAAGCCTGACTTATACGTGTGGTTGAATCTACGCCCTAACATACGCCGTAGGTTCATGTGGCCTTGTACCAAAGTAGCCTGACGTGCACCTCCTAAAAATGTAACCAGTGTAAAAACAACGCAGACAGCAAGCACTGTGATTGGTCTACACTCTCAATCAGTAGGTTCTGCAGTCTGTGATTTTCTAGAAAACGAGTTATTTGGGGATGGACACTTTTTGCAGTGTTGACAGCATCCCGTCTGGAGTCTCCTGCCAAACAAATGTCCGAGTCAGAGGAGATCCACAGATACAGACAGTGGTGCAGAATGCAAATGAATGGGAGTACATGAAAGTGAGGAGTCAGGGGAAGAATTAGCAAGAATGAAAAACGAGATGCAGCTTTTGGTTTTGCAAAAAAAAAAAAAAAAAAAAATCACTGCGTAAAACCACGATGGCGAGGGTTGATGGAGGGCTGGTACCCAAGATGGGAGGGGATGTGTGAGGCTGGGGATGTGTCTGGGCAGACACACAGGTTCACATGAGGACACACACACACCAGTAAGTGTGCAAACGTACGTACATGCAAACACTTGATTAGGAGAGCAACCCTCCTCTCTTCTCGTGATGAGCGTGAGGGTTTTTCCAGCTCTGTGTGTTTTCTTTTTTTTATTACCAATTCTATCAACGACTAAAAACAAAAACAAAAAACTGTGCAAAAACAATGAAAGCAGAGTATCTATTGCAAGTGATTATCAGGGTAATTTGTGATTTCTTTTCCTGCATGTTGTACTTTCCCCGAGCTTAGTGGTTAAACAGGGTGTGGTCCGAGTTTACACGAGTTTGTGTGTGGCGCTGGTGTTCATGCATTCAGAGCAGATATTGTTATCAAAAGCCCTCTCTGCTGTGCCATACACTGTTTATGTGGAAGAAAGAAAAAGGTGCGTCATGGAGCAAAAGGGAGAAATGGGCAGCCTGTTTTGATACGCTATGTTTCCTTAGTAACTCTCAGGGGTCACAGTATTCTTGGCAAAAAAAAAAGGGGCCAGGAAATTCTGCGGTGCCTGTTGATGATCAAAACCTGAAATATTTCTTGGACAGGTTAAGTGTTTATGATTGCTGAACATGTTTGGAAGTAGTTGGATTTTCATTCAATTGTGTTATCGCATCCGTTTCTTCGGAAACTAAACTTGGAGGCTGCACACATACATTTAAAAGATTTATTTTTGGGCTTTGTTGTGCCTTTAATTGAGAGATATGACAGTTGATAGAC